ATTGTTGAACACCGTGCTTACCGCCAAAAATCCCGTTGATAATATGTTGCTGCTATGGCATTGAATAACATAACCTTACTCGTCCTCATTGTCTTTGCCGTCGTGAAAAGGTGTCACTAATGTTTGGGCCAACTCTTCTCTTCTATGGCAGCAGCAACAGCAGCAGCATGTTTTACCCGCTCATCGTTGTCGTAGATTGTTTTGAGAACATATTCTTTTTTTTTTTTGCATTGGCCAAGTGCCAAATTTGTTGGAAAAACACTAGTGAACTTGTCCCCGAACGAAATGAAAATGAATGAAAAAAAAACAAAGGAGAAAAGAAAATATTTGCCATTCAGCAAATTTTTGGTGTTATTTACCAAACGCCAGAAACCCTTACCAAAAACACGCTTCGAACACACACGCTGCCAACCGACCGACCGACCTATGATGTGCCAAAATACCGAAAAAGGTTTAAATGTTAAATAAATTAAGGACCTCTCAATCACTATCCTTGTCATTTAGCTAGACATTTGCCTTTTTCATGGCAAACCTCACGCGTACATTGGGGGCAAATGATCATGGGGGAAAACGTTAGGATAATAAGCTTATATTACAAAAATTGCTATTGACATTTAAGACTATTATACAACAATGCTTATGACATTTATTGGGATTATGGGAAATGAGGGAAAATGCCCCTGAAAATGGATACATAAAGCAAACAACATAGAAACTTACATCATAGGAAAACTTCGAAACCGCTTAGCATTAAAATCTCTAAAAAGTTTATTTATCACACTTTATTTATAGACCCTAATATAACGGCTGCATTCGGTATTTTTAAGATTTTAACGGATTTTATTTTACGAACGGACGGACGGACGGAAGGACATACGGACATACATAAATCGACTCAGAATGTGATTCTATGCAGATCATCAAAATGAGCTATGGGTCTATCTCGCTTCCTTTTGCCTGTTACAAACAAATGCACAAAGACATAATACCCTGAGGGTAGGGTAAAATAATTAAGCGTTGTTTCACATGTTGTCGACATGAATTCCTAATTTTGGAGGCACAACTCATTGAACCGAACCATACTTTAAATTGAAATACGTCTTTTGGTTCGTTTCAACATTTGTTAGATATTTTTTTGGTTCACGACTAGGGTCATTCACAAAAATAGCGGTTCGGTTCAAACCCGGTTCGGTTGAGATTCGATTTTCGTTTAATGGAAGCCATTCACATGTTTTTTCCGCTTTGGTAATATAAACAACTGTGATTTTTCTCAATTACGCCGGAAGCTGTGACAGATGCTGGCTAACAAAAAGTTCTACGGAAGATGTGTCAACGGTATGTTGATGCCTATTGCAGTATAAACACGCAAAAAAATTGAAATATTTTCATATATTTCTTAATACAACCTCCACCAGAATCAATAAACATCCAATTAGCTTCACCTAAAAACACTTTTCCAAGCTCCTCCCACATTATCGTGGATTTTTTAAAAATACTTCAAAGACCATTTACGCTATCCAATCACTTCATTAACAATAGACATAATCCTTTTGCAATCCACTCAAACCTTTCTTTACTCACTTATCTATTTGTTTATTCAATTACCTGAAAGATATCCTTTCAAAATCCGCCAAAAGCAAATAGAAAATAATACACTCCCCGGTGGATGGAGTTTATCTGGTCATAATCATTTTGTGTGTTTTAAAAAGTAATTTGGGGACGAATGAAAACCAAATAAACGAAAGGTTAATTTCCGTTGTGTACGTTTTCACAAGAAACTTTACCGAAAATAATTTTCTGCCAACCTGCCGCCAAGATTTTGGAAATCAGATTTTTGGCGTGTTTTGGGTATTTTTCTTTTGAACACTTCACTTGAAGTGACAGGGTGAGCGGGTGAGTGTGTTGGAAAAACCGTTGTTTCTCTTTCACCCGACGTGTCTATTTACCTTTCGGTTCTGTTCCGGCACTTTTCTTTTCTTCAGTTTTGCTTTGCATGGGTTTGGTTGGGTTCATTTATGTTGATTGTATGCTACTTTGGTTTGCGAACATTGTTTGTGTATCCTTAATGGCCACTGGATAAAACATCTTAAGAAAAAAAACACAAAAACAGGCCCCAAAAACTTTGTCAAAACCGTTTAACAACAAATCCTGGCAACACGTGACAACATTAACAACCGACGTCGTCCTCGTCACCGTCACCATCATCACCGCCAACAGCCAACCATAGCAGCAACAACAAAAACGGAGAAGAAGAAAATAAAATTTGCATAAACCCCAACACCAAGTGTTAGGTGACATCATTTAATGCCATCAGGTGTTTTTGTTGTATTTGGGGGGATTTGTTTATTGTTTTCAGCAAAAAAATGTTCTTTCTACTGCTGCTGCGACCGAAGGAAATGGGGCGTTGCTGTTGTTTTGTAATTTAAATAAAATTTTATAATTTGTCTGTTCAGCAGAATTTCTGTTTTGTTTTTCTATTCGTCTGTAACGAAACTCGAAAAAAGAAGAATATGTCGTGTTAAGTTAATTAAATTTGTTTTTTTTTTTTTTTTTTTTTTTTGTTTTATATCAGATGTAATAAAAGAAACAAACTAAAGAAATCTGGCGCACACTGTAAAACAATTTACAAGATTAGCAAATTAATTCATAAAATGGAGATATAAACAAGTAAAAAAGCTGCAAGTTCGTCAGGCCGAATACGAATAACATCCACCATTTGGAACGAATTGGCAATTTTCAAAAAAAAATCCGTTAACAATTGCCTTGAAATCTTAAAAATATCGAATGTAGCCTTTATATTAGATTTTTTCGACGACGTGGACATGCCAACTTAAAAATCGGTGAATAATGTATCTAAATTCATTAAAATACCGAATATTGGAAGGTACCGTTATATAAGCCTATACGAAGACTTGGTCGCGGACAGAGAGTTTTCTGTCATAGGCTGTAGTATCCATTACGAATATCGGGAGGTACCGTTATATGACGGCTATACGAAGACGTGGACTTGAACAGACAATTTTCGGTCTTAGGCTGTAGTATCCATTACGAACTTCAAATACAAAATTTGGAACAATTCCCGTGAATAATGTCACTAAAATCACCAAAATACCGAATATCAGGAGGTACCGTTATATAAGGGCTATACGAAGACGTGGGCCTGCACAGACAATTTTCTGTCATAAGCTGTAGTATCCATTACGAACTTCAAATACCAAATTTTAAACAATTCCGGTGAATAATGTGGCTTAAATCATCAAAATACCGAAAATAAGGAGGTACCATTATATGGGGCTATACCAAAACGTGGACCTACATAGCCCATTTTCAATACCCAAAGTCGTGCAGACATAATATACATTTGAGTAAAATTTTATCAATCTACTTCATTTCGTTTGGAAGCTAGAGTGGTTTCCACAGACGGACAGACGGACATCGCTAAATCGACATAGAATTATGTGCTGATCAAATATATATACAATGTGGCGTCTAAAATAATTATTTCGAGGTGTTACAAATAGAATGACAAACATAATATACCCTCCATACTATGGTAGAGGATATAAAAACGAAAATGTGAAAAATAGGACAATTTGATCCTGTTGATATTATTTTTACGATTTTCAAAAATTTTAAAGACATGAAACTTTAACAACTTAATTTTACAATTCGAATGGAAACTTAAAAGTTGAAAAAATCCTATTTTCTTTTTTAACAAAAAACTTATTGTTTTTGTTGCCATCATTTCTCCAATCGCTTAAGTAAGTGGGCGTTATAAACTACCAACACCAACCACCACGACAATCACCATTCTCGAAAAAAAAAAAACAGAAAACTTTTACAATTCGTAAAGGAACACAATACAATGTGCAATGCATTACGCCACAATCACTAGAGAAATAAACTATTTTCAACGCCAAAGTTTTTTTCTGCGTTCTTTTATTTCAGCTTAACTTTAGCAATGTTTATTCTTTTTTATATTTTTAACTGCATTTCTTTTGTGTTTGTTTTATTTTTATGACCGACGAACAAACCAATCGACCGACCGACTGACGACCAACTACTTTCACTTACACTTGTTGTTATTGTTGTTTTCAAGGATTCTCGTCTTTGTTTTTTTTTCTTCAAGTTGGAAAATGAAGAAAATTAAGCGTGCCTAAAGTTGAAATAATAAACTTTTTTCTTTTGTATTTTATTGCAGTATTGTTTTGTTGTTAAACAAACAATAACAAAAAACTAGAGGAGAGAAGCGATATCTTAAAGAAACAAACAAACAAATTAACTTACAGATGCGGTGATTTCGATTGGAATCAAGAGCACCCATTTAAAGGGACTTTAAAATGTCCTTGAAAAAATGAACACATGGTTACTAATATAAAAAGAACTTTGGTAAAGTTAGAATCTTGTAGAAGTTGTAAAGAGGATTAAAATTCCTCAAGATATATTGCTAGCAGATATATTCCATAAAAATTCAGGGAAACAGCCTTCATGAATACATTTGCAGGTTAATTTCGCCCAAAAACTCGGTACATTCGGTTAAAGTATAACGTTTTTTTTAGTTCATATCTATAACCGAAAACAATCTTGGATAGGCAGTTTTCATATTCAGTGACTTTCCTTCCCATATTCCCTATCCTATTGTATAAAAGCTACAAAACTTGCTGGCTTGCTCTGACTTTTCTTCCCATGTTCCCTATCCTATTGTACAAAAGGTACATAACTTACTGGTTTGCTCAGGTATCAACATGAAAAACACAATATTTGTTATTAAATTAATATGAGAAAATCACACCGTTTTCCATGACCAGTTAAGATCCATGTTTCATATAGTAATGCCATAGTTCACTCGCCAACTTTTTTGAATGAGAACGGGGTTTTTCGGCCTTTCACAATGACCATTGTATTGTGTTTGCCGAAGAGGTACTATTTTAGAACTTTAACTTGCATAGAAATATAATTATGTAAAATGTATTTGACAAATAGTTTTCATTTCATTTTTCAAAATGTCTACCGCTTTTAAATAAGGGAAAAAATAAGACAGTTTTGAACAAATTAGCGATGTGTAGAATAAAACCTGTGCATGTTACACAAGAACAGTTGAGAGAATTGCTGCTGTAGCCCAAAATGTTAAAGAAAAACCCAGGTTTGTTAATTCATTGTCGTTCTTTGAAATGGGTCATTCCATAAACCTTTTTACACATTATTTTGCATGAAGACTCGTGTCTGTAGACTTATTAAATTCAGTTAACACATGAATTCCAGCCTGCCGATCCCCAACAACATCGTTACCCTTGCTGTTTGGGTCTTTCAAACGCAGAAAATAATTCGAAATTCCACCTCGGTATCTACCCATCTGATTCTATCAGTCAAAATGACCATAGCATGCAAAACATTAAAATCGAAAACAACATTGAATTATACAATCCAGACAAGTAGCAATTAATCCTGTATGTCCTGTACGAATAATAAAAAAGTCTCAAAAATACCAAAAAATTAGCCATGAATAGGAAACACCAAAATAATATAGAGATTCAAATGAGAATAAATAAACAAAAAAGATGTAAGTTCGGCCGGGCCGAATTATGAATACCTTCCACCATCTGGAAGAATTTGGCAATTTTCAAAAAGAAATCGAGAAATCTTTCGATTCATCCTCTCAAATCTGTTTTGTCGGCTTTGAAATGCTACAGAATTTTCAAGGGTAGTATCTAAAAAAATCCGATCCGATATCTGAATCCGAATTGAATAAAATATTCACGACATGAATTATTGTATATTAAATGTTGTTAAATTAATATTTTAGTGGAAAAGATATTTAAATTAAAAAAATTTTTGTCGTTGGGAAATTATTTCCTGTAACAGCAAGGCAGTTTTTATAAACATTGTAGTTGTTGTTTAAGAAAAAATACTTTTAGCAAAAATCTTAGTTGCCGGGTATATCTAATAAGGCATAAGCAGCTATCAGCTGCATTTCTAATTTTAATTAAATTCATTTGTCAAAATTTAATAGGGACCGTCCAAGATTAAAAAAACATACATTTAATATCAATTAACTCAATTTGCTTCGATAATTTTAGTAAAATTCAAAAATATCCTTGGGATTTATTATTAAACACTACTTCATTAAATATACTCTTCTATCTGGCTTTGTTATTCCAAAGGTTTATTCAAAAACTTAGAAAACAATTGGCCAGTCATAAGCATTAATACTTTTAAGAATTGTTGCTTAGAAATATTTCGTGACTCAAGTATAGGATATGTTTTAATTACTTCACTGTCAAAACAAAATTAAAAATAGAATCTTACTGTTGCTAGGCATAAATGTGAATCCATATTTTGGTAAATATTGCGTCGTGTGTAAATTGATTTTTGAATATGTACATACATGTGTTTCCTGGTAATTTTTTAGATATTAGTGGTAATATACTTGAAAGTATCCAATACGTCGAAGGAGTTTTAAATCCTCAACTTATAATTTATCTCGCGCCTGTTAAAAGAACGAAAAGAAACATACCTATGGGATTTTTAGTTAATTATTAGCGAAATATGTAGATTTCTGTTGTCCTCGAAGCCTAAGTTGTCCTTGAAGCATATCTGCAGTAATCTTCGACACCGTCATAAGCTGTATTGTTTATTATTTCACATTTAAGTGGATTTTTATTATTGTTTATTTACATTTCGTTGTATATAAATATATCCATCTATTTTTGGAAAATTCATTGATAAAGGTCATATACCCGAAAACACCGACCACACATCTATTATTACATTTTGGGCTTGTAAACAATGATAATTATATCCTGCAGACAATCGGCTGAAAAAAGCACTCACATTGTAGCCTCGTGGTTTGTTTTTGTTTTGACGACTCGACCAAACCAAACGTATAAGACACCCGTCACGTTCACAAGATTGTATTTGTTTCTTTTTTTATTTCATTTTATTTTTTCATTCTAACGGTGTGCACTAACTCATGTGTATGTTTGTGGTAGCACTTGTTTCCAATTTAGATATAAATATATTCATTAACAAGTGACTAGAATTCTGTAAAACTGTGTAGTTTCATAATACCGCCAGCCAGCCAGTCTTTTCACTTTTTTCCTTCAATGTCATTGCGTGTGGGTGAGAGGATAATTTTATTTGCGGCTATTTTTTCGTTGCTTCACAGACTTACCTTTTATCTTATTTCATACTATTTCGATTTAATGAGTTGTGCAGTAGTTATTTTGTTTATTGCTGATATGTTCAATTCAATATTGTTGGAGGTATTCAAAATTAACGATAATGTGCGTTCGCATTATTTAACTGCTGTTGCTTGCGTTAAAAAATTGTAAACAATACACTAAATTATATCATGACAGCTAACAACTAATCAGCTGTTTAATGTTGTCAATTGGCGTTTTGTGGAAAAGGGACACATAAGTCGATCGTTGACGTACAAGGAACGAAAGGAAAAGAAAGAAACACGGCACGTTAAAATTATGGTTAAAACGGACATAAGAAGAAATTACGACAATGGCAGCATGCGAGTGTATGTTGGCACCAAAATGCCGGCAGTGTTGTATTTGCTATTAACTAGGGGTGAGACTTAAATGTTAATGTAGAACATTGACAGAAAAATTAAAAAACAAAAGATGCAAGTGCAATTGGTATGGAATTTAAATAATTGTCACATCAATTGCCTAGGAATTAAGTGCAACTGGGTGTGACCTGAGGTGAATAAGATATATATAAGTCTGTAGTACTTATTCCATCGTATATACAAATAAGTTCTGTAACAAGTTTTTTTACAAAATTAAAAAAAAATCTTGAAAAACGTCACATCGATATAGATTAACAAATTTTTAGATTTTTCTATTTTTATTTGATTCCACGCAAAAACGAACATGGGACCAAATTCCCCCCCTGTGTGGCCTTATTAAATATATCTTAATTTGGGGGTACAAACTCAGGCAATTTTGTACTTGTTTTTATTTTTAATTAGTTTTGTAAATATTATATTTTTAAACTAAACTAAAATATAATTAAATAAACTAAAAATCGAATTTATATATATTATAATATTTAAAAGTGAGTAAATTAGTAATAAGTTGCAGGTACTGGAACATATGTTAAAATTATCAATTCCTTTGTGTATACCTCAAATAGACGAAGAAACTTCGTATGATATAATCTAGAAGTCGGTGTGTTAAATATTGTCTACGAAAACAGTTCTGTTCCAGAGTCTTCAAGATTCACTAAGAGTTTTTTCCCTATCATACGGGGAAAACGGTTTATCGTAGCAAAAATGTTCATTTTTTCTAATAGAATCTTGCAGTTCTGGAACAGGCCAAATATCTCGTTGCCATAAAGTTCATTTATAAATAAATGGAATAGGTACAAGACCGAGGGAACCATTTTTTTAATTAAGTTAAATTTGGCAAGGTAAATTACAGATAAACGCATAGCTGGTTTTGAAATGAGGTTAGCCAAATCTGAAAATGATACGGACAATTCTTCCTCATTGAAATAATGGTTTTAGACCCTAGATCTCTTTGGGCCAAATTCGTCTCAGAACATTTGGAGTCGATCTAGGGTTGTCCGTCTGTCTAGCTGGCGCGCACGATAACTCTCCCAGGGAGTATCCAATCTGGTCCAAACCTGGTGCATCGTAATATTATTGGTAAATATAGATCGAGTTCGGGGGTGGGATACATCGGACCACTCCTTCTGGTAACTCCCCAACAAAGGGTCAACATTTTCAAAGAAAATAACTTACTCATAGAAAGAGAAAGCATCATTTAATTTTGTGCAAATCCCAATATTTTTGTCAGTGCTAGGTTAGGTGTGAAAATGAACATTATCCTTCAAGTACTTTCCCCCACATTGGGTCAAAATTTGAAATAATTATATCTCTAATTAAATGGGAAATATGCAACTGATTGTCTTCAAATTCCACACATTAAAAAAAATTTATTTACATAAGATCTGATGTAAAAATAAAACATGTAGGACTACTCCTTCTGATACCTCCCTCACATTATTCCAACATTTGGAATAATTTTAACTCTTATAAAATGTAAAAAGAGAGTACGATTTTCTTCGAATGTAACACAACTCAATATTTTTATTAAATAAGATCTGGTGTGAAGATTATGGATATCGGTTCACTCCTTCTGGTACGTTCTCTACAACGGTTCAGAATATTGAATAATTATATTTCACATAATATGCGAAACACGTGAGCGATTCTTTTTAAGCTTGGTTTATCAGAAGATTTCTTTTGGCTTGAGATTTGATGTATAGGGAATTTATCGGCCTACTCCTTCGGGTACCTGCCCCATAAGGGGTCAACATTTCGAATAACCAAAACGATCATAAAATTCAAAATAAGCTTCGTGTTCTCCTCATATTTCACACATCGCATTATTTTTACCAGCACAAAACTGCAGTGAAAATGGAATATATCGGCTCACTCCTTCGGGTACCTCCCCCTAGAAGGGGTCAACATTTCGAATTATAACCATTATAACATGGGAAACAAGGCAGCGATTTTCATCAAACATCGTGTATTTTAATATTAATGTAAACCATACCACTTTTTGTTTCGCTCCTTTCCTTCTGGTTTCGCTCCTTTGCTTTTGACTAATAATTGTTCCCATAAACAGGTGTTCAATATTCTTTAAGTTTTATACATCCCAATATTTAATAAGCATTAAACGAAGTAGAATATTTCGGTCCACAGTATCTGGTACATCGTGCACATTTAAACCTTTTCCAAATAGTATCAAATACCTAATATACATTACATGAAGTAGTCGATACAGGCCAATCCTGCCACCTTGTAATACTTATACAGGACTTAGGTCAGATACTAACCACAAATATCAATTTTTAGACAGATCAGTTGAAAAATGTGGCTAAAATCACCGTTATATGGGAGCTATACCAAAACGTTGACCAATATATTTCATTTTCAATACCAACCATCCTAGACACAATACAAACTATTGTGTCAAATTTCAAAGCTCTACGTCAAATAACGTGGGTTAAATCGACATAGAATGAATATATATTTTATGCTGAATATATATTTTATGGGGTCTACAATGAACCCTCCATGTTTTAGGGTATAATTATACAATTGTTTCATATTTCATTGGCAACATCCAACTTTCAAAATTAAAAATACCTTCTTCTAATTGTACGTACAACTTGGGTACTGTGTTAAAAATATATAATAATTCCCGACTATAAAAACTAATTGGGCGAATTCCACCGTATATGCCAAAATATATTCAATTTGATCAGATATTACGCATTTAGTATACAACAAAAAATAAAATCGGCCGAAAATATATATGGGAGCCATATACAAATCTGAACTGATTAAACCAATTTCGATATTGTTTCACCTTGGGTCATGCGGATGAAATGTGAAAAGTTTCAGCGATTTGTAATTTGTTTGAAAACATGGACCGACGGTCACATATAAATCGGCTCAAACGCTGATTCTATTAAGATAATCGAAAGTGATTATGGGTCTATCTCGTCCCCTTCTTTATGGTACAGATAAATGCACAAAAAAGTAAAACCCTCATGTGGTATTAAAATGTGGAAGAATTTTATAATTTTGTACGTCATATCGGATATTATGCATGGGCCTAGAATGAAAACAAGCTAAATTCTGACCAACATTTTTGTTTTAATCCATTGCCTGATTCTAATTGAAATATCATTTGTATAAATAGATTATTCTAAAAAGAAATTGCAGTTCTCCTTTGCTTCCTATTAAACATTTATATCCTATGGTTTATGATTCACAACCTACTACGATTCCAAATAAATTGTCGATATGCAAAAGGGAATAGTTACATTTGGTTAATACTAGTTATCAAATGTATGTTTACCTAAAAAAAACTTATTTAACACATTTTAAATACCGGAAGTATATAGCAATAGTCTTCAAAAATATAGCTTGTTTGGAAATTCAATTTTCTAAGATTATTTCTTGGTGCTTTTTATTTCGGGTAATACAAGCGAAGAACCTGATTAATAGAATTTATTATAATCCATACTCTACTCCAACTAAAATCCTACCCAAACGTTTTGACTGTCGAAAAGTTTATTATTTGTCACCGACATTCATTTGTATCAGAATATGAATATGGCTATGTCCAATGTTTAAAAAGTTAAAGGATTATGGAAATTCTCGCAAATAAATATCGCCACTATATCACCTAATAAATACTGTGTCTACTGGATGTATGAACAAGTTCCTTATTGGACCGCTTATCTGGACTGAAAGGAATAATAACATTAGATTGAGATATATATTTTCAGATTACAAACTGCACTGTGTTAGAATGCACTGTCACATCTATTTCGACAATTGCTATCTTAAGTTTTAATGGCGTTTTTCGCATAAAATGCCAAAAAAAAAAATCAGCAATAGTTACTCTAAGTTGTCAACAATGTGAGGCTAAATCTATCCTGCTGTAGCAAGCCGTTTTTCAACACAGCACACTTCTAATGCGGTTCTTTTTGTCCTCCCTCCATATTCATATCCCTATATTCCCAGCATGAAGTCATGCACACCAAACATTGAGGTTAAAAACGATGACAACGTGGTGCCAACAGCTAGGCAATACATTCACAAGTTTAATCCGTATATACAGTTGGGGTTTTTCCACCATGTCCCAGCCACCTCTCATCCCAACCAAGAAAATAAATGAATACACAATTTTAGTATTTTTCACTTCAAGTAAAAATCCAAAGATTTTACTCTTTATTTCTTCAATAAAACATCCATTACAACAAAAACTGTTGTAATATCAGCCTGCTTTCGAAACTTGACGTGACCATCATCACACAGTGATAATGGGGTGCGTACAAAAAATTAATAACTTGAAGCTTCCCATTTGTTTAAAAGTTGTACGGAATTCTGCAATAAAAAAGACAAAAATAAATTAGTACAAGTGAATACATGAAAAAACAATATAATTTAACTCCCAGGACACAGTAAGTATTTGTAATTTTGTATTGCAAATAAAAATGGATTTTGGGAGTAAAACTAGGCCAATTAGAATGGGCCTTAAAACTTGATGGAATTCATACTTACATTGTAATAGCGGGATTTCCAGTATCAATTTATTTGGACCTTGCACGCATCTTTCTGCGCTTACGCTTCAACCTACGCATACGCTTCTTACGCCACTATAAATAATATAGAAAAATAATTAAATTAATAAAAAGTACCACACAAACAATTTAAAAATCACATTAATTGTTCTACAACACAAGTGGTGTCTTCAATTTGCACCCAAATAAAAGCAAGAAAAATCTAATGCGTAAATTCTTGAAAAATCTTTGTAATCCACATTATTTACAAATATTTCACATTGTTTTCATTAATTATTCTTCTTTATTTGCAATGCTCATTGTTTATTTTAATATATTTTGTTGTATTTTTGCACTTTAGTAAAAACACATTTTATTTCACTAGAATTTTTCAATTTTAATTACCTTAGCTCTCATAATGCTTCTATACTCGAAGACGACTGAGAACGAAAGAAAGTTTCAGCGGAAGTTCATCTATTCGTTGACTTTTGTCAAAGATGGTTATCATGGCGGCAGGGTTGATTTTCTGCGCAGTGTTGATAAAAGTGTATACACAAATGGGTACTTGTGTTGGAGGGTTGGCAATGCGAATAGCAACCTCATTGGGCTGCACGTGTTTGACGAAAACAGCATGTTGTGATTATGAAATGTAGATGGCGCTCATTAAATAAAATTTGTTATGAAATAGCAATGTGAATTAATAAATTTACTTTCTATTGCTTTTTTAATACGATTTGTTGTTGTAAACGCGCTAATATCACCTATGAAATATCGAAGAATAAAATCATAAACGTGCAAATTGGGCCTTTGTAAAAATTTCAAGTAAGAAAGATAAGAAAAAATCAGTGCCTGGCACTGTCGCTTTACAGCTATACTACTGAAAAGTAAAATCCTGTACAAATATAAACTGCATAAATTTCTTGAATTGGCTGTATATATAGCAATTTGCGAAACAAAATGATCAACCAGCAATTTGTTTGCAAACACATTTATCGCTTTGTTTTGTATTTCCATCGCTCTAAATGTATTTGGAAAATCTATGGCACAAATCGAAAGGTAGTTTAGTTTCAAATAAATAAGAAAATTGCAACTCCGTATTAGAGTCATAAATGTCAAATAGACTTTACAAACGTGCAACAATTAGTTGCTTATTTTACAAATTTTCTCACAAATTTCTTTAGTTGAGAAAACACAAAAAATGAATGGAATGCTGGAATTCTCTACGAAGTTGAGTTCGCGATCGGGCTGCAATGTAACTATTTTGGCCCATTCTGGTGGCCAACCGAAGGTGCACATTTTCAGCTGACCTCTTTGGCAAGTAAACACGATCATTTTGTTTGTTTACAAACTGCTGGACAACGAATGTTTTATCATCGGAGACCACCAAATTCGACAGTTCACCACTTTCGGCCAAGCGAAGCAACTATTTAGCTCTTTTGAGTCTATTTTCTTTCCGTTGCGGTGTAAGTTTTTGCACTTTTTGGAATTTCAATGGCTTCTCCCGAGCTCATTTTTCAATATTTGCGAATGGAATATTGCGATATGTTCAGCTCAGGAGCCATTTTTTTCGAACCATTTCTGCTAATGTTGCTGTTTTTTTTTCGGTCCACTTCCTTGACGTCGGCCTACGCTACCAGTATCACGGTAACAAGCGACGGTACGAGACACAAAAGATTTATTCACATTTAAATGCTGGAGTGCTCTAACGATAGCCACTTATGGTTTTCCAGCCAAATATAAAGAAATCACAATATCACGCTTGAATTCCTTCACGAATAACTTTTTTCTGGAAAATTCTCACCAAAATGTTTTTGTACGCTTGTAAACAATATAATTAGCTGTCACTGGAATATTTTTAACAGCTGTTGGAAGATTGGCTTAGAAATCGACCTGCATTTGTTCACAAGAATACATGGACAGAAGGACTGACATACGTAAATCAACGCAGAAAGTGATTCTATGAAGATTCTCAAAAGGAACTATGGGTCTAACTCTCTTCCCTTCTCATGTTACAAACAAAGGCATAATACCCCTACCACTATGGGTATAAAAAACGACGTTGAAGCTATTTCCTATCAATTAAAAATTTTGAATACAAAAATTGAACATTTTCTAAATTCTGTTAAATTTGCAATGTATTTATGGGAAAGTTCTTATTTTATTTGAGTAAAAATTTGTGCAATCACGTCTGCAAAAACCACCTTCAGGAAAACGACTCACTTTTAACGTGCTTTTAACTGCCACAAAGTCATTATTTTTTACTCATCTTAACTTAATATTCTTTGATTATTGTGTCAGTCCAATCTACGAGGGTGGGAAAATTTTCATAGCAATTATAACCTATTTGACTTCGACTCTGAAAATTGTTAAATTTTATAGCGAAAATGTTAATTTGGTAAGAATATTATTTAAACTTGTTTATTATTCATACCAACGCCGGAAATATAATTCTAACAGTTCTAGCATAAATTATTTAATGGGTGCAACATGTCAATAATGTTCATGTATGGCGTGTGAGCATGGCATAAATGCCATGTCATCGCCATGATGGTAAACCATTATTATTGGCAACACTTACAATGGTTCTAAGTATTATATGCATAATTTGAAATATAGGTGGCGCTGTCTGCTTGAAAATACAGCAAAACGCTCTTAAGAATGATTACGGTAATTGGTTGGTATATTCAAATATATGAAAATATCTAAAAATATATGTTCATATTTGAGGTTTATATTGCAATTTTATAAATAGTATAAATATGAGATAAACTATAAAAAAAAACAAATAAAGCATTATGCTATTTCATTGGGGCTTTAATCTGATTTCAATATTTCCTAAAAAAACATTGTCGTTAAATTAAAAAAACTAGTATTAAGCATTGAAACAAATATCGTTCGTACTATGTTATAATTTGATATATTTTAAAAAGAATGAAGAATAACCAATTTCCTTCTTCTTGTTTCTCCCTCTCTCTCTCTCTTCATCTGTATTTTCAGACATTCTGTGTGGTTTCAAAACGTTTTCGCAAAAATTACATACATCGATTTACCGGCACCAAAAGTTTATTTCTCTTCCATCCATGGAGTGCGGCGAGACGAATATGCGTCTATATAGCAACAAATCAGTTCTTCGATTATTGTGTCATGGCCACAATATTGTTTAATTGCATTTTTTTAGCCATGACAGAGACAGTCGAAGAAGCTGAGTAAGTGTCCCGCCAGTCAATCTATATAACAGTCCACCAATCGCTCACTCACTCAATCAATCAATCAATGTCATTATCACACACATTCGCACTCACTCACTCACCCATTGACTTGCATTCCAATAATTGCTAATTTTTCATTTCATTTTGTGCCTTTAAAATGTTTGTTGTTGTTGTTTCCGTTTCCTCCTCCTTAGATTTGTCTTCCTAGCGATTTATACCATTGAAATGGTAATCAAAATCATTGCCAAAGGCTTCCTGCTCAACAAGTACACATATCTACGAAATCCATGGAATTGGCTGGATTTTGTGGTCATAGCAAGCGGTTATGCAACAATCGGCATGGACGTGGGCAACTTGGCCGGTTTGCGTACATTTCGTGTGCTGAGAGCTTTAAAGACTGTTTCCATAATGCCAGGTTTAAAGACTATTATAAATGCACTACTGCACTCGTTTCGTCAATTGGCCGAGGTCATGACACTGACCATATTTTGTTTGATGGTCTTTGCACTGTTTGCACTGCAGGTGAGTAAAAGAAATGTTATAAAATTAATAGAAGTTTTTTTTTTATTAAAAGAAAAACAACTTAATTGCATATTCGTCGTTTAAAACATTTAGTTTCTCATATTATGTTGTTGTAATGAATTAAAAAAAAGGATTGAGTGACAGACATTGCTGTATGGATTGATAATTGTTTGCTGAAATACACATCTTAAATTTTATATTGTAAGCCATTTATTGCTAAATGTCGCCTAAAGATATGCTATAATTAATTTACCTTTTTTTATCACTGTTAGGTTAATTTGTTAAACACGACGTTCACACATAACAATATTTTTTTTAGTTTCCTTCCTTTTTGATGAAAAAAGAAAAAAAATCTTTTAACAGAAATATAAGACTAAGGGCTAATTTCACCCTTATTAAATAGGCCTTGGGTAGGACTTAAGCGTGAAACAGATCAAAGCTTAAATCATGACTTCGAAGTGAAAACACAACACTGTTTCCATTTTCGGCTGACGGGAAAATATAAAAACCAGTAAAGAAAGTCTTAAAGTCGGGCGGGGCCGACTTTATGATACCCTACACCACTTTGCTAATTTAGTAGAGCTCCACGTAACAATTAAAAGTTTTTATGGGAGAATTCAAACATACACGCTATGATTATAATTATAATTTAAAGTTCAAATTCGGACTTGTATTGCCCGTTTGATATATATGGGAGCTATATCCAAATCTGAACCGATCTCGATAAAATTTGGCAAAGATATTTCTGTATGTATATTTCCCAGAATATCGTTGTTACGGAGTGCATATTACGGCTGTGGGTAAGAAATGTAACAAATCGGATGAACAGTATATATGGGAGCTATATCTATATCTGAACCTATCTTCACCAAATTTGACATACTAGCTTCTAGACTCAACTCGGTCGTAAGTAAATTCCATCCGATTTGGACAAATATTAGACGATTGGTGCACAATAGAAGGTAAATCGGACGAAGTTATATATGGGAGCTATATCCAAATCTGAACCGATCTCGATAAAATTTAGCAAATATATTTCTGAACTGTACTTGATATATTTCCCCAAATATTGTTGTTACAGAGTGCATATTGCGGCAGCGGAGGACAAAAATAACAAATCGGATGAACCATATATATGGAGCTATATCTATATCTGAACCGATTTCGATCAAATTTGGCATACTGCCTTTCATGCCTAATTTGGTTGTATGTGCAAAATTCCATACTATTCGGGCTGATATTACACGTTTGGTGCACAATAAAAGGCAAATCGGACGAAGACATATATGGGAGCTATATCTAAATTTTGACCGATTATCTCCAATTCGGGTTCGTCCTTGGGCCAAACAAATGATCTGTGCAAAATTTCATCTAGATAGGGCGATAAATGCGATCTGTACTTTGTTTACAATAATACATGGACAGACGGATAGACAGACGGACGGACGGACATGCATAAATCGACTCAGAATGTGATTCTATGCAGATCATCAAAAGGAACTATGGGTCTATCTCGTTTCCTTTTTCCTGTTACAAACAAATGCACAAAGACATAATACCCTGACCACTTTGTGGTGTAGGGTTTAAATATGAATGTTTGTAATTGGAAAATATAACCGTTAGGGGAATTTTAAAAATTATCAATTTTTTATACCCTCAGCCATGTGGCTACAGATGCTATACACATTTTGATACGGCCAAAACGCATGCATCATCAAAAATAACGGGACCCCATGTCCCTTTGAACCAAATTTGTTTCAGGACATTTGGAGTCAATCTAGCGGTATCCGTCCGTCTGTCTGTGTGCTGACTGGTGCGCACGATAACTCTCGAAGGGGGTATCCGAATTGGTTCAAACTTAGTACATCGTAATATTATTATTATTATCAAATTTTGATCGAGTTCGGTGATGGGCAATATCGGCCCACTAAAAATTTTTAAAAACAAGTCAAATAGTATCAGTCATTTTTGCTGACAGGAAGCTAAAATTTTGCCCAGATCAGTGGACCATATCGGTTCACGATATAGCCCCAACAGAACGGTACCCCCGATATTCGGTATTTTTATGATTGTAGCCAAAATTTTTCATGAAATTGCCTGAAAATCCACAAAAGGAGTTCCTTCTGAGTCCACTATATCGTATATCCCCCATATAACGGTACCTCCCTATATTCGGTATTTTGAAGATTTTAGCGACATAATTCTCCGGAATTGTTTCATATTTTGTATTTGAAGATCCTAATAGGTATTACAGTCTGTGACAGAAAATTGTCCATGCAAGTTCAGGTCTTCGTGTAGGCCCCATATATCAGTACCTCCGTATGTTCGGTAGTTTGACCATTTTAGCTACAACATTCACCGAAATTGTTTGAAATTTCGTATTTAGAGTACCTAATTGGTACTACAGCTTGTAACCAATATAACGGTACCTCCCGATATTCGATATTTTGATTATTTTCGCCACATTTTTCCAAGGATTTGTCTAAGAGTTGGTATTTGTAGTTCGTAAAGGATTCTAGCTCCGGTGGCGAATCTTATAACTGTACCTCCCGATATTTGTGGTTCGTAATGGGTTCTAGGTCCTGTGGCGGTCCACGTTTCGAAAAGCCTCCACATAGGGGTGCCTCCCGATATTCGGATTTTTGATTATTGCCACATTTTTCCACGAATTTGTCCAAAAAATGGTATTTGCAGTTCGTAATGGATTCTAGCTTCGGTTGCGAAACATTGTATGTATAGGTCAACGTTTTTGTATACCCCATATATACTTACCGATATTCGTTACTTTGATGATTTTTGCCACATTTTGCCAAGAATTTGTCTAAAAATTGGTATTTGTAGTTAGTAATGGGTTCTAGATCTGGTGGTGGAACATTCTATGTATAGGTCCACGTTTTTGTATAGCCCCCATATAACGGTACCGCCTAATAGTCGGTGTTTTGATGATTTTTGCCACCGTTTTTCACGGATTTGTCTAAAAATTGGTATTTGTAGTTCGTAATGGATTCTGGTTGCTATAGCTCCCACATAACGGTACCTCTTGATATTCGGTGTTTTGAAGATTTTTGCTGATTATCCAGCGGATATGTCTAAAAATTGGTATTTGTAGTTCGCAATGAGTTTTTGCTCCGGTGGCGAAATATTTTATGTATAGGACCACGTTTTTGTATAGCCCCATATAACGGTACCTCCCGATATTTAGTATTTTAATGCTTTGTACTTCATGATGAGTTCTAGCTCCGGCGGTAGAATATTGAACATTTTCCTATAGCACACATAGAACGATACCCACAGATACTCGCTATTTTCATAATCCCAGTGACATTTTCTGACGAAATTATTTCAAATTTGGCATTTAGGAAGATTTGGTAGATGACAATCCTTGAAGTATTAAAATGTCTATGGAGGATCCCGTTTTGGTATGGCTCCCAAACAACGGCCTCACACACTTTGTTTTTTTTTTTTTGAAAAGTTTGACAGCATTATCCAAACGATCTTACTGGCATTTGTAGTTTAAAGTGGAACAAAGGTGAAGGGTTTAAGGGTTCCGCCCGGCCAAACCAATTGTTTTTTATTTGCTGTCCAGGTTCTCAGAGGACTTTAGTCCTCTTTCTGAATATTTTTCATTTGCTCGGTATTTCGAAGGTTTCAGTCACAATATCCTTGGATGGAAAATTAGTGTACGAACAATTTCTAATATCGGCCTATATTTTGGAGCTCCAACCAAATTTTAGTTGCTTTTAAAATCCACTTTGATTCCGTCCGTAGTGATTTTTCAGGAAGAGATTTTGAATATACCCAAAGTGGTTTGGTTTGATGTAGGGATAGGCAGGGGCGGCAGCCTTTTCACTCGGAGATCCACACTTTTCAATACAATGAACTATAGTTTAACATATGACTCCAGAGATTTTGAGGACAACTAATTTTAAAATAATTTAAATTTGTTTCGTATGCCATCTGTCAAAGAGAAGATTTAAGATCTTAACAAGGTGTCCTTGCATACAAGATTAATGTTTTGTTTCTATTTTATAATACTTTCTGTTCATGCTCCTTTTTACCTTTCAGGTTTACATGGGTGAACTGAGAAATAAATGTGTTAAAAACGTTCCAGAAGATTGGGTTAATACCACCGATCTTGAATGGAAATTGTAAGTAGAATTTATTTTCGATAAATATTTAGTTCAACCCATTTCTTCTTTCTCCCCCTCCCCACAGATGGATCAATGACACAGACAATTGGTTGTTTGACGACGAAGAACTGCCTCTGTTATGTGGCAACCTAACGGGGGCACGTCACTGCCCCGAGGGCTATACATGCCTGTGCGTGGGCGAGAATCCCAATCATGGCTATACGAATTTCGATAACTTTATGTGGTCGATGTTGACGACATTTCAGTTAATCACCCTGGACTATTGGGAGAACGTGTACAATATGGTGTTGGCCACTTCGGGACCGATGAGTGTATCATTTTTTACAGTGGTTGTGTTTTTTGGTTCATTTTATTTGATAAATCTAATGTTAGCCGTAGTTGCTCTAAGTTACGAGGAAGAAGCCGAAATAACAAATGAAGTGAGTTATTTGGAGAAATGGGAAATTATAACTCGAATATCACACTAAACATTTCTATTTTTCCAGGAACGTAAAAAAGACTTAATGGATCATCGAGATGATTCAACATTTAGCTTCGACCCGTCCGTTCTGAATGTGAAAAAATTAAATAAAAACAATAAGAATAAAATTGATTCTCGCAAGGGTGTACTGGCCTCCTACAACAAGAAGAAGGTGCGACGGAAAAAGGTCAAGGGCACCGGCAAGGGTGAAGCAAGTGGTAACAACACCGATAGCAATGGCAATGGAACAGTGAGTATCTGCCTTAGACTTTTCAAATAAAGTTGTTTCCCTAATTAATGTTCTTTATATCTGGCATTTTAGCACACTGGTAAAGGTGATTCACTCACACCCACACCTAGTCCCAGTCCCCGCCACAGTGGTTGTGAACGACCTACCGATTTGGATCTGAAGGGGGGTCAACATCAAAAGACCGGCTCGGCCAAAGATAAACAACGCCAGACACGCATTTGTTTCCAGGAGCAGGACACTGAACTCAATCCAAATATGTTATATCCCTCCGGTCAGCTGGGCCATGCTGGCCGCCAAGGTAGCTCAAATTCGGCGGGCGGTGGTGTGAATCGTGAATCATCTCAGGATGATTCAGGTGTGGTGGACGATCATGAAGAACAAGATATAACAGCTTCCGAAGTGGCCAATGTAACTGCCACCACAAACAACAATGCCGTTGCCACGACCACCACAACGATGGTGGACGAATGTGGTGGTGGCGGCAGCACCAATGAACATACAGCGGTCACACTCGCCTTGTCACCGCGCGAAGTTCGACTGATAAAGTGCAATGGAAATATAGCACGCATTAAAAAGCATAATATTTATGCTTTACATCCGGAAGATTCTTCCGAAATTGTTGTAATCGGTGAGTGTGGGAAATGGGGTATTTGAATGAAAAAATAAGAGGAAATGGGTTCGACTTTTTAAAAGTAGTTCTGAAATAGACAGAAGACCTTCTATAAAGATATATAGATGAACTTATATGAATAGAAGACTTCCTGCAAGCTTTCTGTGGATAGAAGTCCATTTTCCTATCTTCCATGGATAAGATAACTTTTAGACATCTTTTGTGGATAGAAGATCATCCTCCAGGGACAAATGACTTTCAACAAATCTTATATACACAGGAGACCTTCTACGGAGTTCTTCTATGAATAGAAAATTTTTAGATAAAAGACCGTTTAATGATCTTTCACAGACGGAATAAGGTTTTACGATCATTTATAGAATAACAAAAGACAGTTTTAATATCTTCTATAGACGGAAAGCCTTTTTACGATCTTCCACAGAAGGTATATTTCTATAGGTAGAAAATCCTCTACGATCTTCTGTATACAGAATAACTAAAATTTTCAATAGTTCGAAGAATTCTACGGTCTCCTATAGATGGAAAGTCGTTTTACGATTTTCTGCAGATAGAAGATATAGACGTTATTCAATGCATTTACAATTATCCAAAAACGGAAGACCATTTTTCGATTTATATAGAAATACATGTTTACGATATTCTATAGGTAGAAGACATTTTTACGGTATTCTACAGACAGAAGTCCTTTTACGGTCTTCCATGTATAGAAGACATTCTTACCCTTTTGAGTTTGGATACCTTTTAAGAAGACCATTTTACGGTATTTTATATATGTGTTAAGACTTGTCAACGATATTTTACAGATAGAAGGCCGTAAAATACGGTCTTCTAATAATAGACGACGTTTTTACATTACTTTTTGATGGAAGATCTTTTTACGGTCTTCAACTGGTAGAAGACATTTACGATCTTCTAAACTTGGGATACTTATACGGATTTTTTTAGATAAGAGACCTACTTACGGTCTTCTATAGATGGAAGACCCTCTTACGGTATTCTATAGATAGAAGACCTTCTTAAGGTATCCTATATGTAGAAGAACTTCTTAAGGCCTTCTATTGGTAGAAGGCCTTTTAAACGGTATTCTATTCTTAGAAGGCCTTTTTACGATATTTTATTGATAGAAGACGGTTTTACGATATTCTATTATTAAAACACCGTTTTACGATATTCTATTATTAGGAGACCGTTTTACGATATTCTATTATTAGAAGAACGTTTTACGATATTCTATTATTAGAAGACCGTTTTACGATATTCTATTAATAGAAGACCGTTTTACGATATTCTATTAATAGAAGACCTTTTTACGATATTTTATTGAGAGAAGACCGTTTTACGATATCATATTAATAGAAGACCGTTATACGATATAATATTAATAGAAGACCGTTTTACGATATTCTATTAATAGAAGACCGTTTTACGATATTCTATTAATTGAAGACCGCTTTACGATATTCTATTAATAGAAGACCTTTTTACGATATTCTATTAATTGAAGACCGCTTTACGATATTCTATTCTCAGAACCTCTTTTTGGATTCCTGTACGGTCCTGTATAGATAGAAGACCTTTTTACGGTCTTGTATAGATAGAAGGCGTTTTTACGGTCTTGTATAGATACAAGCCTTTTTTACGGTCTTATATTGGCACAGGAATAGAAGACCGTTTTACGTTTTCTAGTGGTAGAACTCTATTTTACGGTTATATAGAGATGGAATACTTTTTTTACGGCCCTCTAGTGTTATATTACTTTTTTAGGTCTTCTAGTGGTAAAATGCCGTTTTGCCGTCTTCTTTTGATAGAAGGTTTTAAAGTTTCAAGAGATAGAATACCTTTTAGCGTATTTTTTACAATTTTTTACAAGAAAACTTTTTTACGGTCCAATGCTATCCATGAAATGTTTGTTTACGGTATTCTATAATTGACGACCTGTTACGATATTCTATAGATCTCTTTTTATTGTCTTCTATACATAAAAGAGGGGGAGCAGCAGTACAGATTATATTCTACTGCAATTATATCCCTCCTACACCACACTGATATCATGTTCCTCCTCTCTCTTTCTTTTCAGATGATCTTCCCGATCGTAATTGTGATAGATGTGTTCAATGCTGCATCGACTATGAAGGATGGTTGCAATTTCAAAATTGCCTCTATAAAGTGGTACGCGATCCCCTCTTTGAGTTGGCCATAACGCTGTGTATTGTTTTGAATACGGCGTTCTTGGCAATGGAACATCATGGTATGAGTGAAAGTTTTCGCAATGCTCTGGATGTAGGAAATAAGGTAGGAATATAATAGTGTAAAAATAGAAAAACAAATTCCCCCGAGCACTCAAGATAAATATATACGAATTCAGCCAAAGCAGCATGCATGAACCCTTTTTTGATGCACCAAAACATGGAGGGTAGCTTTCTGTGTGCAAAAGATTCTCCAAACTTCAATATTGTCTTCATGATGTTCTTCTTCTTGTTTTCTCCCTTTCTATCCCCACCAGGTTTTCACTTCAATATTTACATTTGAATGTATTATAAAATTAATGGCATTATCCAAAGAGTTTTTTCTATGTGGTTGGAATATATTTGATTTGATAATAGTAACGGCCTCATTGTTGGACATAATATTTGAATTAGTTGATGGTCTCAGTGTATTGAGAGGTCTAAGATTGGTAAGGATACAATAAAAATTTGTTGATAAAATAAAAAAATCATTGGCATTGCTTAAAAATGGAAAACAAAATATTTATTTCCTTCATTTTTTGTGTATTTATTTTCTTTTCGAAAAAAACCAAACAAACAACAACAACAACCCATTCTAGTTGCGTGTTTTAAAATTGGCTCAATCTTGGACTACAATGAAAGTGTTATTAAGTATTATTATTTCAACCATAGGAGCTTTGGGTAATCTTACCTTAATATTGGTTATAGTCATTTACATATTTGCCGTCATTGGCATGCAATTGTTTTCTAAAGATTATACACCAGAAAAATTTGAACCCGATCCGGTGCCAAGGTAAAATAATTAACGAAATATTTTGTTTGAATAAAAGGAACTGAAAAACTTAATTTATTTGTGTCTTTGTTTGTTTTATCTGTAGATGGAATTTCAATGATTTTTTCCATTCATTTATGATGATTTTTCGTATTCTATGCGGTGAATGGATTGAACCTCTGTGGGATTGCATGAGAGCCGAAGAAGAGGTATGTTATATGCTAAGGATTTTTTAGTTTAGAATTGAAACCTACACCACAGTATCTGAATATTTGGTACTTAAATATGCCAATGGGGATTCTAAATCGCATTTTTTCTAGACAAATTACCTTTTCTTTTAAAGTATTTGAATATTTAATATTTTAATGTTGGAAGCGCCTAGAAGTATGCTATAGAAATGTGAACAAGTTAAAAAGCCGTAAGTTCGACGGGCCGAACTTTGAATACGAATTTGGAAAGTAAAAAAAATAGAATGCATTAAAAATTCTGTTAAAATCTTAAAAATACCGAATACAAAGAGTAACCGTTATTTTGGGGTCTATACGAAGACGTGGACCACCGAAATTTGAAACAATTCCGGTGAATATTGTACCTAAAATTTTTCTGTCATAGACTGTAGTATCTATTAGGAATTCAAATACGACATTTGAAACAATTCTGGTGAATATTGTACTTAAAATCGTCAAAATGCCGAATATAGGGAGGTACCGATATATGGAGGCTACACGAAGACCTGGACCTGCAAAGACAAATTTCTGTCATAGACTGTAGTACTTATTAGAAACTCCAAATATGAAATTTGAAGCAATTCCGGTGAATAATGTCGCTAAAATCATCAAAATACCGAATATAGGGGGTACCGTCATATGGGGCCTATTCGAAGATCTGGATCTGAATAAGCAATTTTCTGTCACAAGCTGTAGTACCCGTTATGAACTTCAAATACGAAATTTGAAACAATTCCTGTAAATATTGTACCTAAAATCGTCAAAATACCGAATGAAGGGAGCTACCATTATATGGGGGCTATACCTAAACGTGGACCTATATAGCCTATATCCAATAGCAAGCAGATCTTCTACTTCAATTCGATCGGAAGCTAAAGTGATTGCCGGACATTGCTAAATCGGAATAGAATTTTATGCTGATCAAGAATGTATATATATACAGGGTGAGATAAAAAACTGCAACACAGTCAATCGCCATAATTTTTATATTTTTTTAAACTGCCCGAATGTTGCTCTGTGGTATTTTGGCCCATTGCCTGCGAAGCGCTTGCTTGAGGTGATCGACACTTTGGTATTTTTTAGTGCCAACCTTGCTTTCCAAAATACTCCAGACACAGTAGCCCTACGGATTGGTATCCGGGAATTTTGGTGACCATTGCTGAGTCCTGTTAGAATGTTCAAGGTCTGCGGCCAAAATGTTTGCGTGCCCAAGGCTTTAACACACACTCCAGAATATTTTCGCGATAATATTCGGCATTTATTCTGATGCCAAGAGCAGAGAGCGACCATCGGCTGTTATGGCGGCCCACACCATCACCATGGCCAGCGCTTGAGTTCTGGTGGCCAGCCGAAGGTGCACATTTTCAGCTGACCTCTGTGGCAAGTAAACACAATCATTTTGTTTCTCATCGGAGAAAACCAAATTCGGCAGTTCACCACTTTCGGCCAAGCAAAGCAACTTTTTAGCTGTTTTGAGTATATTTCTTTCTGTTGCGGTGTAAGTTCTTTCACTTTTTGGAATTTCAATGACTTTACCCCGATCTCATTTTTCAAAATTTGCCGAATGGAATATTGCGATATGTTCAGCTCACGAGCCATTTTTCGGCCACTGCGACGCGGGTTTCTATCAAGTCGCTTCTTTACTTTTCGAACCATTTCTGTTGATGTTTCCGTTTTCTTCCGTCCACTTCAGTATCATGGTAGCGAGCGATGGTGCGAGGCACAAGATTTATTCACATGTAAATGCTGGAGTGCTCTAACGATAGCTACTTGTAGTTTTCCAGCCAAATATAAAGAAATCACACGATCACGCTTGAATTCCATCACGAATAACTTTTTACCTGGAAAATTCTCACCAAAATGCTTTTGTACGCTTGTAATGAGCTGTCACAAGAATAATTTTAACAGCTGTCGGACGAGTGGCTTAGAAATGACAGCGGTCTGATGTTGGTTGCAGTTTTTTCATCTCACCCTGTACTTTGTGGGGTCTAGAATGTATATTTTGAGGTGTTACAAACGGAATAACAAAGTTAATACTATACTAAATTAGCGTGGAAAATCACTTAACATACGGCACTTATCTGATATTAAAAATAGCTTTTAGAAGTAGGAGTAAACAATAACACCATTTCATACTTCACCCGAAGACGCTCATTTAATTTGTCCTGGGAACTCAAACCGCAAAATTAAAATAAATTATGTAGCCTGCTTGACACTCGTAATACTCCTGGTAATATACATGTATCGCAGATATTGTGGTGTAGGTTAGTGCAATGTAGAATTTGACTTTTTCTATTATTTATATTTCAAAATTATTTTTTTTTCAAATATGTATATTTATTTCTTTTTTAAATTCCAGCAAGGTGCTTCCACATGCTTTGCCATATTTCTACCCACACTGGTCATGGGCAATTTCATGGTGCTAAACTTGTTCTTGGCCTTGTTGCTCAACAGCTTTAATTCGGAGGAGCTAAAATCCAAGAAAGAGGTAAAATGCATGTTTGACTTTCTGTCGTATTTTGGTTCTACTTTTACTAGCTTTATTACGTTCTTGTCGTATTCGTCACATAATATGTCATTGATGTTATTCTAAGAAAAAAAAAGCAAAAAAAAATGGTTTGATTTAAGCAATTGAAAAAAAGATGCCCAAAAAGCATTGATGTGTGCAAATTTTATATGTGTGGTTACAATTTTTTTAAGAAAAAAAAAATATTTTGAACAATTGTTATTTCAAATATTTGGATTTACAAAGATTTCAAAATTTCGCATAATAATTTTAAACTCAAATGATTTGAAACATATTTACGAAAAGATTCATTTTTGTATTTAAGTGTCGTTCTTTGATGTTTAGTGATTAGTTTGTTATTGTATTTGGATATTGATTCTTTCGACTATTTTCTAGACTAATAGACGTTTTAAAGCTTTGTCCATATTATCGTTACGTTTCCATATTTTACTTCAATTCTTGTTTATTCTATTTAAATTACTAATAATTTTCGTTGAAGATTTTGTTCGGAAAGGAGAAATATATTCTTCTTAACTTTGAATTCTGTGATTAAAAAAACAGTTTAATAGTTAAATGTTTACATTAGAGCTTTTTACCGGGATAGCCTTCATTATGAGGTTTTATTTGGTAAACTATTAAGTTACCATAAATACATTTTTTGTTATTGGTACCTTATTGTTGTACTTTGTAACAGTTTTCCATGAGAAAAAAATGCTTTATAAAAATATTCTTATCAGTTTTTTTAAGCAAATACATGAAACTAAAATTGAAGAAAATATTAACAAAATTAATATTAAAAAAAGCTTCAAGTTCTGCCGGGCGAACTTTGAATATCCTCTATAATTTGGAACGAATTTAGCAATTTTCAAAAAATAAAATCCGTTATAAATTCTGTTAAAATCTTAAAAATATCGAATGTAGCCGTTATATTAGGGTCTATACTATGTCATGGACCTGCATAGGTAACTTTTGTCATAAGCTCTTACAATATTCAAATGGGAAACTTGAATAAAATTCTGTGAATAATGTAGCTAAAATCATCAAAATACCGAATATAGAGAGGTACCATTATATGGAGGCTATACCAAAACCTGCCCTGCACAGACAATTTTCTGTTACAGGCTGTAGTATCCATTACGAACTTCAAATACCAAATTTGAAACAATTCCGGTGAATAATGACGCTTAAATCCCCAAAATACCGAAAATAGGGAGGTACTATTATATGAGGGTTATACCAAAATGTGGACCTACATGAACCATATCATAAATCGATATAGAATTTGCTGATCACGAATATATATACTTTGTGGGGTCTAAAATGTATATTTAGAGGTGTTACAAACTCCATACTATGGTGGAGGGTATAAAAAATTATAAAAATATTAAAAAAAATTGTTAAATTTTGAAAAACTAATAGTTTTGGATTTATCTCTCTCTCTCTAAAGTCAAAGAAGAGCTTCTTTCGTAATATATCGAGATCTGCTCGGCGGGCTTCAAGGTAATCATTATGAGGTTGTTGCATCGGCCGTCAGACATTCAAGGATTATTATGGTTATCTTCTGCAACGCCTTACTCTAAATCTACAGGAAGGATTTGGCCGGAATCGAAATGGAAATTCACACAACTCTTCTCCATTTCAAATTTATAGGAATTCCCCCACTACCTGTGAACGAATCAGTAGTGGGATTCTTGAGTACATTAAATTTTTCATCCCTTTGCAACACCTCTAAATATCCATAGTTGGGTCCACTTTGGTTCCATGATTACCACCTCCCTCAACATTTCTTAAAAGAGTCCCCTTACCAAAATTTTCTACCTCCCCCGGAACTGATCAACATTTACAAATGGTATCCCGTAACATTTACAAATGGTATCCATATGTGTCCGTTTTTGTACCTTTCATGAAACTGGTCATAATATTTAAAAAGAGCCCTCGATGGAAAGACAGCTGAGTGCCAGTTTCTTCTCTGAGTCCACGTTTTCGTATCTACTACGGCTGGCTTTTTTGTACCTCTCCAATAAATTGTCAACATTTCCAAATAGAGTCGCCTATAGGTTCATGTGTTTTATCTGGGAAAAATTCCAGAGTCAAATTTATGTACCATCCAGGGTCCATCTGTCATGTGTCCACCTTTTCGTAACTAAACCGGAACTGGTCAAAATTTATGAAAAGGAAAATCTCTACTAACCCATGGGGTTTAATCTACAATAAACCTTACCAGGATCTCGAAGTTTTGACCAGTCCCGGAGAAGGTAAATAAACTCCAAGCTACAGAGGACCTCTGTAGACAAATTTTGACCAGTTCCGGAGGAGGTACAAAAATGTGAAAATAGGTGATCTATAGAGCGAAACATATACTTATTAACTGCTGATAGCTAATTCCTCTCAACCCACTGAAAATGTAAGAAGACTTCAGATGGTTTAACCGCCCTCTTCCAATGACTCAAAGATATGCTTATATTGAACCGCCAAAAATGTGGACTCACTTTAGGTATTCCATTAGAAGGAATGTAGGCTACTTTAAATTAATTTTTTTTGGATGTTCTGTGGTTAAGGGCTGTCACATAACGCCATATTTCTGATACTATGGATATGACTAGAGCTAAGATTTGCTCGTTTTTAATCGAGATTGAAACATACTCACGAGCTGGAGTACTCGACGTGTAGGAGTTTTGCACGAAGTTTACTCTCCACTTTTTTGTCTTTTGTCCACTTCTTGGTCAAGATCTTCTATGGTCGCAGAAGAAGAGCTCAAGGTGTTCGATGACCGCCTAGAAGAGCTCAAGGTCTTCGATGGCCGTATAAAAGAGCTCAAGATCTTTGATGACCACATAGAAGAGCTCATGGTCTTTGATGACCGTATAAAAGAGCTCAAGATCTTTGATGACAGTATAAAAGAGCTCAAAATCTTCGTTGGCCGCCTAGAGGAACTCAAGGTCTTCGATGGCCGCCTAGAAGAGCTCAAGGTTTTCTATAGTCCGTAGAAGACCTATAGGTCTTCCCTGAGCATAGTTAACGTCATTTGTCAAACGTGTTGACACGACGATAATATCTGCATAACCATGACAGTTTTCTATTATTCGGAACTCCCATGCTAAACGAAACAGGCGATTTGCTCTGAAAGCCTCAATCTCCTCAGCCAAAAGTCGGTATTTCTTCAAAGGATCAGAAAATCTCTTAGATAGAGCACTTCGGAATAAAAATTATCTGTTTGTGAAAAAAAAAAATATAAAATCAATAATCAATTTTGATCTTTTTCACGATGTCCAGTTTATACTGGAGACCATTAAAACATTTTTGATTGATGAGGAGGTCTTCTTCATTGGCAAATCTCGCATAATTTCCAAAAAGAAAGAAATGAGGGAAATGGGAAATAATTTCGATTGGGAAATATCAGAAACTTGAGATTTAATTATAAAATCAAATTATAAATCGACCTAAAAAAACTATAAAGTCTAGTATTATATTAAAAGAAATTAAATTATATTTTATGATTAACAAAATATTCAATACTCTATCTTAGATGTGTGCCAGTTAGATTTTTGTTATTTTTTTCATATTTATCATATATATCAAACAAAAAATATTTTCCTTTACATTTAGATTTTATTATCATTTTCTTCAATGTCTTAGCTAAAAGAATAATGAAAAGTTACGAAACTCATCTAGAACATGACCACGACTTTTCATAAATTCTTAAGGCCCTACAAAAATCTATCAACAACAATATTTTCTAATATTTAATAAATATTTTACTATCTTCCTCCTTCTTTGTTGTTATTGTTACAAATACATATATATGTGCGTGTGTGTGACTGCGTTTTTAATGTGCTTAAATGTTAAAACAAACAAAACCAAAAAACAATATAATTAAAAAATAAAAACTGAATTTAAATTTCCAAAATAAAAAAAATAACAAAAACAACAACAACAACAACAACATATACATATATACCAATATAAAATTATATACATATCTTCTAAACATATTTGCACTTGATATCAAATTGACAAATAAACAACTATCCTCAAACGTCCAAACAAAAAAAAAAAAAAACTATTTTCTAATTCTGTGCACCGTGTCAATTGAAAAAACAAATCTGAAACACTTTCTGTCAAACAAAACCCCTTACAATTTAAACAACAATACTTACCTACGCCAAATACAACGTTTATAAAAAAATATCTCTTAAACTAAACAGATATTCAAGAAAAAGGTAATTGTAGCTTGTAATACTTCCACTGAAACTGAAACATTTTTTAATTTGAGTTGAATTCAAAAATAAAGACAACTGAAAAAAACCAGTAAACTAGTATTTGGCCCATTCCTCTAAAAATTCAAAACCCTCAAAATTTGAGAAAAAAGCATGTAACCCGTAGAGATTTTATTTATTTGCCCCCCCTCTTACCCCTTGAAATTTGAGCAACAAATAAAACTGTAGTTGTAGTAATTCCCCCCCAACTCCCGAAATTTTTGGACATGAATTGGTATTCCGAGCTATGGCTTAAGCATATTGGTCTGCATAACAAAAACAAAAAATAGTGTGTTTTGCTGCAACTGTATTTGTATTGGCATAATTAAATATATATTTGTTAATAATTTATTTTATAATTTCATTGTAACATAACTGCGAAATAAATAATTGCTTATCCCAATATTTTATTGAAATCCGTATTAACACCCACTTTTCTTCCCCTTTCTCTTGCCGCATTTGTTGTATTCTGTTTGCAAACTCTAGGAAGTGGGCGAAGAATCAAAATTAGCTCGCAGCATTGAACGTGTACGCGATCTGATTCGAAAAAAACGCCAAGAACGGAAAGAGCGCAAGGAGCGTAAATATGCTTCGAAATTTCAACAAATTGTTATTGAAGCTCAAAATGCTGCCGCCTCATCAATGCTCGACAAGTCAGGTCTGATGTCGGAAACTAAATTCCATCGGCTTAGCTATCAGGTAAGTGGTAAAAATGGATAAGAAATAAAATTTAAATTCATTTAAGAGGGGTTTCCCTTCATAAAGAAGCTCAAGATCTTTTATGGCCGCCTAGAAGAGCTCATGGTCTTCTATGGCCGTATAAAAAAGCTCATGGTCTTTTATGGCCGCATAGAAGAGCTCATAGTCTTCACTGGTCGCCTAGAAGAGCTCATGGTCTTCTATGGCCGGCTAGAAGAGCTCATGGCCTTCTATGGCCGGCTAGAAGAGCTCATGGTCTTCTATGGCCGCCTAGAAGAGCTCATGGTCTTCTATGGCCGCCTAGAAGATCTCAGGGTCTTCCATGGCCACCAGGAAGAGCTCATGTTCTTTTATGGCCGCATAGAAGAGCTCATGGTCTTCAATGGCCGACTAGAAGAGCTTATGGACTTTTATAGCCGCATAAAAGAGCTCATGGTCTTCTATGGCCGCCTAGAAGAGCTCATGGTCTTCTATGGCCGGCTAGAAGGGCTTATGGTCTTCTATGGCCGCCTAGAAGAGCTCATGGTATTTTATGGTCTTCAATGGCCGCCCAGAAGAGCTCATGGACTTTTATAGCCGCATAGAAGAGCACATTGACTTTTATAGCCGCCTAGAAGAGCTGAAGGTATTCTATGGTCGCCTAGAAGAGCTGAAGGTCTTCTAAGGTAGCCTAGAAGAGCTCAAGGTCTTTCGAAGACCTGTAGGTCTTCTATGCGACCTTAAAAGACCTGTAAGTCTTTTATTATCCGTGGAATACCTGTAGGTCTTCTATTTTCCGTGGAATACGTAAAGGTCTGCTAATGTCCACAAAAGACCTAGAGGTCTTTTATTGTGTATTGAATTATCCTATCTCCAATTTTGCGGTCAAGTCCTCTAAGTTCTACCATTGGAGTGGAATGCTGATGTTGTCGTAATTTTTAATAATACCCCTCCTTTATTATTTTCAGGAATCTATGAATCGACCTGTTTCCGGCTCAGATTTTGGCGTTATCATACCCTTAAAGGGAAGCCTACACACTATTGTTGATGGTACTGAAACTGAAGAAGATCGTAAGTCACACACATCCGCACAGCAACAATATCAACATCAGCAGCAGCACCAACAACAACAACAACAACTACAACAGCTGCAACAACAACACGAATATACCACATCACCCATGTTAAATACCCAACCAGCTTTGCAGTTGCTCTATCAGCAACAACAAACGGCCATGCCATCATTCGATGGCACCGTGGCCAGTTCCTGCCAATTAGACAATAATAGCCCAAATCCACAGGCCGATCGTCGGCTACAGCATCAAATGTCTTCCGGTTTTGGTACACAGCCAAACGATTCCCGCGATGATCCAACCACCTACACGGAATCGATAGAACTACAGCTGATGGGTCAGTATAATTCCACAGATACCGATCCGTATAATCAGGATCAACGAAGTGGTTCGTACATGCGCGGCGACTCGTTTCAAGAGCGCATCTCAACGCGTCTCTGCAGCGAGGAACATGACGAATCGTATTTGCAATATCAGAAATCGTTGCTGACGCGATCGCCGAGCTATCGCAAATCCTTGGATCGCCTCTCACAGTCCAGCGATCAGTCGCAGCGTTCGTTGATACCCTCAAGACGATCCGACGATGAAATTGTCTCCAGCATGAGACGAGACACAAGTGGCCATTCGTTGAACACCATATCCATGGAACAGGAGGAACTGCTGTCGAATCATGTCAATCTTAGGGATGAATTGCTGAACTGTGATCAAAAGGAATTATTTCAGTTTTTACAGGAAGATGCCCAGGATAATAGCCATAATTATTTTAGCGATACGGTAGGTTATGGCTCTACCATGGATGCGGATACCGATTCGCTAATTGTTACGGAGAGTAAACGCCATGGGGAAGAACGCAAACCCTCGACTAGCAGTATCAAATCGAATTTAAGTTACATTTCCAATTCCATACTGCAAACCATAGAGTCGAGACGAAATGGAGGTAGTCATTCGTCGAATGGCAATGGCCATGACAATGAGAGTGTACCCTTGGTGGAACACTCCGAGTTTGATAATATTATCCAAAGTTTTGAGAAGGAGTTGGAAGAGATTAAAAAATCCACCACTTCACTGGAGAGACGGCTCTCAACATTGTCCGAACCTTCGCCGGCAGCTGATGAGGCTAATAAGGCCATTTTGGAACATATTGCGGTAATTACGGGCGCCTCAGAGCGTACGGCAGCGGATGAGGTGGTAACCCCATTGAATCCTTATGACAGCTATGATCTGTCCACAGTGCCGCGACGGCAACACTCGCTGCCGGCCAACACAAATCGAGCCTCGGTGAAGATCAAACGTCGTAGCCTTGAAAAGCAACGTAAAATCGATGAAGACTTTTGCATAAGCAATGAAATACGCAAGATCTGTGATCAAATACAAGCTCCCTTTGCCTCAGTGGAAGCAATGTCGATTGCGGCCACTCAAGCCTCTGGCGCCCAATCGCCATTTATGCGGCGAAAAAGTGATCTCTTCAGTGCTCAATTTGATCGTTTCAAACGAATGTCGCTGATTGAGCGAGTCGATGAGGTGCCCGAAGAGGATAAGCCCATTTCGACGCTGCGCATGGAATCCGAACGATTGCCGCGGAAATGCCTGACCGTCGATGGGGCGGACAAAATCGAAAGTCTATCGCTGAAAAGTACAAATTCCTATGAAAATCTGCTGCTGCACAAACAATTGACCCAATTAGCTCAACAGCAGCAGCAACAACACCAACTGCAACAGCAGCAGCTGTCACAGCATCATTTGCACCACCACGACTCTTCCAATTCATCGTCTGCCGTTGTACCACCCACACCACCAGCCTCGCTAAAGTCTTCTATCGAACCACCCACACTGGCGCAAATGTCTTCGCTGAAGGCAACGCCACCCCTGACGGCCTTAACCGAACACCAGCAACATTTCCATGCCACCAATGCTCAAATGCGTACCACACCACTCCTCCCAAGGGCTGGGCAGTCGCGTGCCAATAGCGTTGACGCCGAACAGCTGCAACAGCAGAGGAAGCAACAACGACGCCTACAAGTCAAGTCACGCTCAGAGCATCCACAATCGGCACTAGACAAAGCTGGTTCTTTCCAATCGGCTCGCACCGAATCGCACAGTTCGGGTGCGGCCGATACCTCCTCAGCTCTGGCACTGGCCGCAGCCGGCGATGTGATTGTGGGACAGTTGCAATCGGCCGGTGGGTCACAAGATAAGAGCGGCGATGCGCTCCAGTCGCAAAAATCTGCATTTTCACGACTGACTGAAAAACCATGGCATTGTCTGGTCTCCTACGTAGACGATCTCACAGTGGGTGGGAGACGTAATTCGCAGGGAGCATACAATGATCCCATGACTTTTCCAAGTTTCGGACATTCGAAGCCACCAAAAGTGCCAGATGATTGTTTCCCCCAGAAGTGTTATGAACAGTAAGTGGGGAAGAGAGGGTGGAGTGGGAGAATCTTATGACTAATTTGTGTATTTTCTTTTGATTTTCAGCTTTTATTTTCGCTGTCCTTGGTTTATGTCTTGTATGGATACCCCGACAGCTAAACATTGGACACGCGTCAGAACGGCCGTCTTAACTGTTGTGGATACTCCAGCCTTTGAGTGGTTTGTCTTGGTGTTAATATTTGCCTCCAGCATAACGCTCTGTTTCGAGGACATCTACTTGGATAGTAACAAATCGCTGAAGCGCATCCTGTATTGGACGAATTTCTCCTTCTGTTTGATCTTTGTCATCGAAATGGTTCTCAAGTGGTTGGCATTGGGGTTTTCCAAATATTTTACCAGCTTTTGGACGATACTGGATTTTATTATAGTTTTTGTAAGTAAACGAAGTGTGGGGAAGGGGAAGTAAATCGGAAGTGGGCACAGAAAGACCTTTTAAAAGGGTCTATGTTTTTAATTTTAAAATAAAACCTTCCGTATCGGCTCTGACATCCGAAAAACTCGGGTTATACGATACCGTGGACCTTTGCTCGTTTAAGAGTAGGATCAAAATTCGTTCGAATGTGATCGAAATAAAACCAAACACGTTGGATCGCTTATCTGTACATATAAAAGTCCCACTCTTTAAGCACACTGCTCGGAATCAAGTTTCGCTCCCCAGAGAGAATGAGCAAATCTGTGCTCTCTTTCAAATGTTTTTGACATATGTATCCACCGACATATGTGAATGGACCAAAATTGATATCGCTTGTGCCCTCGTGTTTACTTCCCCTTAAGAGATTCCCCATTACAGACAATCTCATATCTAATTTCTTTTTATGTTCCAGGTTTCTGTTTTCTCTCTGCTCATCGAGGAAAATGAAAATCTCAAAGTCCTACGTTCTTTGCGTACCTTGAGAGCGTTACGTCCTTTGCGTGCCATATCCAGGTATGTTTGAAAAGTTCCATGATCATTTCTTACGTTCGAATTGTTTTTTTACGATTATTGCGGAATTGTTAAAAATATATATTTTTGAAGAAAAAAAACCTTTCTCTTTCTCTCTACATTGATATAAATGTAAAATTTTTGAATGCTATTTAATTTTTGATATGATGTATTTTGTTATATTTATTAAAAACTTGAATTTTCAAATATTAAAAGAATATTGAATTTTTTCTAAGTTCCTTAATGTACATCGAACCTTTCGTCTTTTTAATTAAGATTTGAATATCGATTTTATGAGATGAGAACTCTACACCACAAGAGGATAAAATATTAGGAATCAAGAGAAGTCCGTCCGTTTACTTAAAGAAATCTGTTCTGAAGTATAATTAACATAAACGTAAAACGAGTAAGGAAAGGTGAAAAGTCGGGCGGGGCCTACCATATGATACCCTACACCACAATTCGTATTTAGTAGAGCTACCGTAACAAAAAAGTTTATTTTGGGAATTCATGTGAAGTCGATCATACAAAAATTGATCTGGATAGAATATTAGGAATCAAGACAATTCCGTCCGTTTACTTACAGAAATCAGTTGTTAAAATGTAATTGATAGAACACTATAACATAATAAAACCAGTAAGGAAAAGTCAAAAGTCCGGCGGGGCCTACTATATAATACCTTACACCACTACACATATTTAGTAGAGCTCCCGTAACAAAAGAATTTATTTGAAGTATATCATACCACCTAACAACATTTGGCTTTAGAGCAGTTATAGTTTGGTTTCAGAGGGAACTAATATATGGGAGGCATATCCAATTCTGAATCGATTTCCACTAAATTTGACGGATACATTTCAATCTTTTATACCAAATAAGATTGCTGAAGATTTCATGACATCAATTTGAGAAGGATAACATTAATAAAACATATTTCGGAGCCGAGTTCCACAAGGTCTGCGGCCAAAATGTTTGCGTGCCCAAGGCTTTAATATATGCTCCAGAATATTTTCGCGATAATATTCGGCATATATTCTTATGCCACGGTCGATTAATACGAACGGGGAGCGACCTTCGGCTATTACTGTGGCCCACGCCATCAACATGGCCAACGCTTGAGTTCTGGTGGTCAACCGAAGGTGCACATTTTCAGCTGACCTCTTTGGCAAGTAAGCACGACCATTGTGTTTGTGTACAAACAGCTGGACAACGAATGTTTTCTCGTCGCAGAAAACCAAATTCGGCAGATCACCACTTTCGGCCAAGCGAAGCAACTCTTTAGCTCTTTTGAGTCTATTTTCTTTTTGTTGCGGTGTTAGTTCTTGCACTTTTTGGGATTTCAATCGCTTTACACCGAGCTCATTTTTCAATATTTGCCGAATGGAATATTGTGATATGTTGAGCTCAGCTTCTTTACTTTTCGAACCATTTCTGTTGATGTTGCTGTTTTCTTCCGTCCACTTTCTTGACGTCAGGCCACGATACTAGTATCTCGGTAACGAGCGATGGTACGAGACACAAAAGATTTATTCAAATTTAAATGCTGGAGTGCTTTAACGATAGCCACTTGTGGTTTTCCAGCCAAATATATCAATATATCAATTTCATCACGAATAACTGGAAAATTCTCACCAAAATGCTTCTGTGCGCTTGTAAACAATATAATGACCTGTCACTGGAATAATTTTAACAGCGGACGGACGAGTGGCTTGGAAATCACAGCAGGCTGAAGTTGGTTGCAGTTTTTTCATCTCACCCTGTATATGGGAGCTTTATCCAAATCTTTGCCGTTCTCGAGGTAGAGGTATTTCTGGGCTGTATCGGATATCTGGTACCAAATATCATTTTTGCCGAATGTATATTACGAATATGAGGACCCCAAATCCGATGAAACATATATATGGGAGCTATAGGTCTCTCTGAACCGATTTTCTCCAATTTTGATGTACTTGCTTCTAGACTGAATTCGGTTGGATTTGCCAGAATTCAGGTCCGTTGGACTGATATTGGCCATTTGGTGCACAAATAACCCGAAATCGATTGAAAAGATATATGGGACCTATAGCTATATCTGAACCAATTTTCTCCAATTTTGATATACTTACTTTTTGCATTTGGACTGATATTGGCCATTTGGTGCACAAATAACCCGAAATCGGTAGAAGATATATATGGGAGCTTTATCTAATTTTGAACTGATTCTCACAAATTTCAATAGGAATTGTGCTTGGGCCGAAATAAAATATTGTGTGGAAAATTTCATTCAATCGGGTAATAGATGCGGCCATGCATTTTGTTTACAAAAGTACATGGATAGACGGACGGACAGACATACATAAATCGACTCAGAAAGTGATTCTATGAAGTTCCTCAAAAGTAGTTATGGGTCTATCTCGCATACTTCTCCATGTTACAAACAAATGCACAAAGATATAATACCCTTACCACTATGTGTTGTAGGGTATAAAAAACGATTAAAAAGAAGTATTAAACTGTTTACAGCAGGAAATTTTAGCTATGCTGATATTTTCAGAAAAATAAAATAAGCTACTTTAAAATTTAAAAACAATTAGCATACCAAATTTAAAGATTAGAAAATATAACAACAATCCCTGGGCACCTTTTTGTGACCAGGCAGTTTGAGTGAGTAATGCATCACAGATACAGAAGTTTCTATCCAGGAACTTTTAGCCATAACAAAAAGAGTCGTTTAAAATTATTCGAGACAGTTGTTGGTGAATAAATATATATATTTAAAAAAACGGCTATTTGTTTGATTAGATTGAATATCGGAAAAAATTTAATCGCCTTGTGCGAAACAATAGTATCCAACACAGACTTGTGTGTCAGTAGAAAAATTATCGAAAATTACCAGTTAAAAAAAATTATCGAAAATTACCAGTAACAATTTTTTATAGTTCGAGACCTTTTTTTGGCACTTTTTGCTATGTTCACGTGCTTTTTCTTGGAAAACCTTGAAATAGAGCGAGTTATACAACTCTGTGTCAATAAGAATGAAGTGTAAATATACTCGTGATTGATAGCAAAGTCCCATGTTGGAATAAAAAAATCATTTGCCTTTTCTTGTGGTGTAGAGTTATGTAACGTACGTCGGCGAACTAAGCCGATTAGTTTTAAAATTATAATCCATCTAACTATTTTCAAAATCTATCACCTATCTATCTCTTGACTTTTTCTAACACCAACTATTTATTTTTTTTTTCTTATTTTCACTTTTAAAAACTTACATTTTTATTTTCACCAATAAATGCTTTAAATTGGCTACATTGCAAATATTTTTCATTTTATATGAAAAAGAAAAAAACTTAAACAAACTTAAAAGTAATGTTTTCTATACATATTGTTAAAAAACTTTAAATGAAAAGAAGAAAGAAGCCTATACAAATGAATTTGGAAGTATTTAATACAATATCGTTTTCTTTATGGATTTTGAATAGAAATAATTCAAAGAACAAAGAAAAGCATACAAACAAAATGATCCTTGTAAAATGTTATCCTTGACGTGTGTGTTTGTGTCATAAAAAAATTAAACAGAAAATCCAAACTTCCAAATGTGTGTAATAAAATTTGTTAAGAAAAAAAATTAAATATTAAAATTTAAATGTACAAAACTAAATCCAAACTGAAACAAGTTTTATTCCCTTTTTTAAAGGGAAGTAAATTTGTATCTGAAATATGTTTATAAATAATTTCCGAAATTTGTTAAAAAAAATTGGCATGTTTTGTATCTAAATAATATATTATTTAATTTCTCCACCTTCTCCCACTTTAAAAATAAAAAAAAAAAACACAAGCTATTCTTCACAGCTCCACAATCTTAACTAATCTAACACACGCACACGAATGTCAAAAACAACAAACACCGCCAATCTTTTCTTACACTTCTCGGTGAAAAATTCAAATTTCAAACTGTTTTCCTCAACGATTTTCAACAGCATTGAAATTTGAAATTTTCATTTAAAATCTCCACTCTTCACAAAATGCACGCACACCAAGGCAAATTTTGTCACACCAATAAGTCAATACACAGAGCAGAAACAGAACATCACACAACTCAATCACTCAGTCTCTCTCTCTCTCACCACTCCTTAAGTGTACCAATCCACTAAAACCCCACTACCACCCAACCCACTGGCATGTTATTATCTCTTATTCCGATAATCGGTAATTTGACAATTTGATAAATCTCTATTCTGTATGTGTGTGTGAGTTTGTTTCATATGATGTTAATTAATTACGTTTTGATTTTTGAAAAATTCAAGTTCAAACCCAAAGATTGTGTATCCTCCTTGTTTATATTTTTAACTGTGTATGAGTGTGTGTCTGCGCCTATCTGTCTGTCTATCTCTCTCTCTCTATATCCATTTCCGTTTCCTTTTGTGCAATCGATCAACGATGATCGACGCATTTTGTATTCAATTAACCTTTTCAATCCATCAAACAGAAAAAAATACCTTTCAACCACAACTTGTCTGTATCGAACATCAAAAATTTTATTTCTATTCCAGGTGGCAAGGAATGCGAATTGTAGTAAATGCTCTCATGTATGCCATACCATCAATTTTCAATGTACTTTTAGTTTGTTTAGTTTTTTGGTTAATATTTTCTATAATGGGTGTACAATTTTTCGGTGGTAAATTTTTCAAATGTATCGATAACGATGGAGAGCTACTACCAGTCACGGTTAGTTAAATGCTTACAAAACACATAAAATTAACATATTTTTTAAGATATTAACTAACATAAATTATCTACGAGTAAATGAGATATACCCTACACCAGGTGTTGCTGAAGGAAAGGAATGGGTCGAACTTATCTGAATTTTCAAATTAGCATCAATCGGAAAAACATAAAGAGCTTGGTTTGGTAAACCAAAATAATTTAAAATAAATGTCTGTATTATATGAAAAAGGGTTAGACATTTTTTGATATATGATGAACTGATGTTGGCCAGATATGGATAAATAAAAATGGAGGATTTTTTAAAGAAGCCCTTTCAATGACTGTAGGGGAAATAGTCACCTTAAGAAATTTTTAGCTTATAAAAAATAATTTTGTTTTTTGGCTTTTTGGGCCACCTGACTGTCAAAGAGTTAGAAAATAACCATTTACATATATATGGTAGCTATATCTATATCTGAACCGGTTTACACCAAATTTAAAATTCAAGATTCTAGGATAAATTCAGCCGTAATTGCCAAAATTCATCTCATTTGTGTTGATATTAGCCATTTGTGTTGATATTAGCCATTTGGTGCATAGTAAACCTAATATCGTATAAAGATATATGTGGGAGCTACATCTTAACCTGACCCGATAAAATCTCGATAAAATTTGACAGATGTATTTTCGAGCAGTATTTGATGACCGGTACCAAATATCATTCTTCTGGAGTGTATATTACGAATGTGAGGGACTTTAAACCCCAAATCGGATAAAACATATACATGGGAGCTACAGCTATATCTTAACTGATTTTCTCCAAATTTGATGTACTTGCTTCTAGACTGAATTCGGTGAGATGTACCAAAATTCAGGTCATTAGGACTTATATTGGTCATTTGGTGCACAATTAACGATTATCGCCAATTTCAATAGGGTTCGTCCTTGGGCCAAGCAAATGTTGTTTACACAATTTCATTTCAGCCGGATTATAAATGCGACCTACATTTTGGGTTGACGGACGGACGGTCTGACATGCATAAATCGACTCAGAAAGTGATTCTATGAATGTCCTCAAAAGTAATTGGGTGAGGTACCAGAAGGAGTTCGCAGATATGTATTATCTTGGATGTTTATTTTGCTTTCTTTGAGCATTTTGTTTTTCAAAATCTTGAACCCTTTGTAGGGAAGTTACCAGAAGAAGTGGACCGCTACATTCCATCTTCACAGCTGATCCTGTGTTAGTAAAAATAAGGGGATGTGTGAAATATGAAGAGAACCGGATCCTTATTTCGAATTTTATAATAGTTTTGGTTATTCAAAATGTTGACCCTTTGCGAGGGAGGTGCCAGAAGGAATAGCGCATCTCTACCATCTCTGTAACAGATCTTGTGTTGATGGAAATATTGAGATGTACCAAGTCTGAATGGAATCTGATGTTAATTTCGCGTTTTATGAGCTTGATGGATATTCAAAATTGTGGTGGTATCAGAAGGAGTGGACTATATCCCATCTCCACACAAGACCTTGAATTGGTAAAAATATTTTGATATGTGTGATTTGGAAGCTATTGGACTACTACTTCATATTTTTATAAGAGTTATAATGATTCAAAATTTTGATGCTTTCTGGGGAAGGCACCAGAAGAAATAGTCCGATCCCTCCCACATTTATAACAGGTCTTGTGTTGATGGAAATATTGAGATGTCCCAAGTCTGAATGGAAGCGGATGTTAATTTCGAGTATAATGTGCGCCATTGACATTCAAAAATTTTGTCCTTTGAAGGAGAGGTACCAGAAGGAATTGTCCGATCCCTGCCATCTTTATAACAGGTCTTGTGTTGATGGAAATATTGAGATATGCCAATTCCGAATGAAATCGGATGTTAATTTTGCGTTTTATGAGCGCTATTGATATTGAAAATTGTGGTCCTTTGTGCCATATGGCTGAGGGTATAATAAAAATGTTTTATATCGAGCTCTTTCGATATAAAAAGAAAAGATTTTAAACAATATATTATATTATACATATAGGGATTATACATGCAGGAAGAAACCTTAACACTTTCTCCTAAATTACAACCGAGTTTTTTAAAATGTAACGTTCTGTGAACAATTCCTTATAGTAAAAATGCTTAACATAAAATAACAAGTTTGAACAAAAATATCTTATAATATTTTATAAAATTATTAGGAGGTCCTGCCGAAATACACCCAACAATTCAAGAAATGAAAATTATTAAAAACTCAAAAATATTCTTTTTGCAAGGATATTATGAATTGTTGACCCTTTTAAGAAAATTTTGACCAAAAATCTGGATTAAAATTACTTATTAGTAAAATAACAAAAAAAAAAAAAAAAAACAATTTCTTTGTAATTAAACAATTATTAAAAAAATCCCCCACCCTGACTTCCCAAATAATAAAAAAACATGTTATATATAAAGTTTTTAGATCAACACCTAGTGTACGGTAATAGAAGCAAGGCAAATAGCAATCACTTAAACTTTTACTCTTTTAATGTTAATAATTAATTAATAATACTTTTTTCCTTTTTCTTAAAAAACATGAAATAACATCCCTTTAGGAAGTCAATGACAAATGGGATTGCATTGAACAAAACTACAGTTGGATCAATTCAAAAATCACTTTCGATCATGTAGGTATGGGTTATTTGGCCCTACTGCAGGTGGCCACCTTCGAGGGCTGGATGGAAGTGATGGCCGATGCTGTGGATGCCCGTGGCGTAGACCTGCAACCGCAACGCGAGGCCAATCTCTATGCCTACATCTATTTTGTCATCTTTATTGTGTGCGGTTCATTCTTTACTCTTAACCTCTTCATAGGAGTAATCATTGACAATTTCAATATGCTGAAGAAAAAGGTAAGTCACATGGAGTCCGAAACAAACGGAGTAGGTACTTTTATTTTAGTTTAATTTTGTGAAAAAAAGTTTTAAATTGAAAAGAACCAATCAATCGTCGTGACGAGCATAAATTTAAAGGTTTGAGGATATTTCTTATTATACCCTCAGCCATATGGCTACAGAGGGTATATATCATTTGATACGGCCAAAACGTGCCTAGTCGAAATAACGGTTTTAGACCCTAGGTCTCTTTGGACCAAATCCGTTTCAGAACATTTCGAGTCGATCTAGCGATGTCCGTCCGTCCGTCCGTCCGTCCGTCTGTCTGTCTGTCTGTCTGTCTGGCTGGTGCGCACGATAACTCTCGAAGGGAGTATCCAATTTGGTCCAAACTTGGTACATCGTAATATTTTTGTCAAACTTAGATCCAGTTCGGAGATGGGCAATATCGGTCCACTCCTTCTGGTACCTCCCCCACAAAAGTTCGAAATTTTCAAAAAATTTAATTTTTGCACAGAAAGAGAAATTATAGTCCAATTTTGCTCCAACTTTGCAAATCTTAATATTTGAGTCAGTGTGAGGTCGGGTGTGAAAATGGAAAATATCGGCCCACTCCATCAAGTACCTCCCCCACAAATGGTAAAAATTTTGAATAATTACAACTCTCATAAAATGTGATGTAAGTGTCCGATTGTCTTAAAATTTTACACATCCCAATATTTATATTAACCCAAGGTCTGGTGTTAAGATGGAATATATCGGTCCACTCTTTCTGGTACCTCCCCCACAAAAGGTCGAAATTTTCAAACAAAAAAAAAAATATTTTTTTTTGCACAGAAAGAGAAAGAATAATTCCATTATTCTGCTACCTTGCAAATCCTAATATTTGCATCATTGCTAGGTCTGGTGCGAAAATGGAGAATATCGGTCCACTCCTTCTGGTACCTCCCCCACAAAGGGTCAAAACTTTAAATAATCACAACTCTCATAAAATGTGATGTAAGAGTCTGATTGTCTTGAAATTTCACACATCCCAATATTTATATTAACCCAAGATCTGATGTTAAGATGGAATATACCGGTCCACTCCTTCTGGTACCTCCCCCACAAAAGGTCGAAATTTGCAAAAAAATATATTTTTTGCACAAAAAGAGAAAGGATAATCCGATTTTGCTCTCACTTTGCAAATCCTAATATTTGCATCAGTTCTACGTTAGGTGTAAAAATGGACAATATCGGTTCACTCCTTCAAGTACCTCCCCCACAAATGGTCAAAATTTTGAATAATTACAACTCTCATAAAATGTGATGTATGAGTCCGATTGTCTTCGAATGGCGCACATCCCAATATTTATATTAACCCAAGCTCTGGCGTTAAGATGAAGTATATCGGTCCACATCTTATGGTACCTCCCCCACAAATGGTCGAAAATTTGAGATATATATTTTCTGCACAGAAAGGAAGCAATAATCTAATTTTGAAAAACATGAGGCTCAAAGAAAGCGAAATAAGGATTAAACTCTTTTCAAATTTCACACATACAAATTATTTTTGCTAACACCAGATCTGTTTTGAAGATGATCCTATATATCTGCGAACAACTTCTGGCACCTCACCCACAAAGAGACACATTTTCCAATATTTTTATCTGTCATAAATTGCGAAACAACTCAGTGATTCTTTACAATTCCTATATCCATCTGCTAGAATAATATTTATATCATATTTATGTAGGTCCGATACGAAATTGACAATATTGACCCATTCTTTAAAAACCCACTCCATAGAGGGTGAAGAGAGCTGAGGGCATACATCTGTCGGCAAAGCCGACCGATACTTTTTTACTTGTTTTTTGTTTTGAATATCTAAAAGTGACATTAAATGTAAATTATTTTATGGGAAAAAATGAAAATTAAGGTAAATTCATATTACAACGAAAAATTCCCTTTTGGAATTTTCAAAACGCCATAGAGTACAACTCAATTATGGGTTTGTAAAATAATTGTTCTAACAATATTTTTGAAATAGATGTTATTCAGTTTTTTTTTTCATTTTGAATATATCAATAAACAAAATCACTCGTTCTGATCTGAGTTCTTTTTAATATAATCACACACACACGTTTAGTGTATTTATCTTTTAGATATATTTTATTTATTATGAGCGGTGTACAGTGTTTGAAAAGAGGCTTTACACAAAACCTATTAAAGCTACTATTAAAAATAAAATTCATTTTTTTAATGTTCAAAAAATTTCAGACTAATGGCCTGTTTTTAAAGTCATAAGAAGGGATTAATTTGCTTCCAATTCGAAATGACATCCGGCCGGTATCGAGGTACTAGAATCGGCAACACTATTACATTTTCCATTTAAATTTGAAAGTCAAATTCATTCATTTGCCTTTGGATAGTCGTGTTGTATGAAAAACCGAGAAATTGTTATAAACATTTTAAGAAGAACAAGAAACATATATTATTGCTCTTGTATGTGCAATCGAAAGGAAGGAAGTAATGAAGTTAAAAAACCTCTATTTATGTCGAATTCAAGTGGCACCCTTCATATTTGTATACCCTACACCACATAGTGGTAAGGGTATTATGTCTTTGTGCATTTGTTTGTAACATGGAGAAGGAAGCGAGATAGACCCATAGTTACTGAGGATCTTCATAGAATCACTTTCTGAGTCAGTCCGTTCGTCCGTTGGTCCATGTATTTTTGTGAACAAAATGCAGGTCGCATTTATTACCCGATTGGGATGAAATTTTCCAAACAATATTTATTTGGCTCAAGGACGAACCCTATTGAAATTTGTGAGAATCGGTTCAAATCTTCATATATATGTATATCTTCAACCGATTTCGAATAAATTGTGCACCAAATGGCCAATATCGGTCTAAAAGACCTGAATCTTGGCACACCCGACCGAATTTAATCTAGAAGCAAGTACATAAAATTTGGAGAAAATGGGTGTAGATATAGCTAAACTACCATAAAATGTTTCATCCAATTTAGGGCTTTAAGTCCCTCACATGCGTAATATGCACTCCATAAGAATGATATTTGTTATCAGAAAATTTGTTATCAATACCTCTGTCAAGATTTAGAGTTGGATATAGCTTCAGTATACATGCGTTATATACACTCCATAACAACGATATTTAATACCGGGCATCAGACACTGCTCGAAAATACATCTGCCAAATTTTATCGAGATTGGTTCAGATTATTATATCGCTTCGATATACATCATCCGATTTCACGGTTATTGCCGACCATATATGTAATCTCCGTCCAAATTGAATAGATTTTTCCATATTCATCCGAATTTTACCAATGAAAATCGGTCCGGTCCGATATTGCTCCAATATAAATTGTTTTTAATTATAATCCATATCGAAGCCATATCTTGCACTATACAGCAATGTTATTTGGTTCATAGTTGGTATGATCAACATATAGTCAGCCCAGCCGAATTTTGACCTTTCCTTTCTGGCTATTTTTATATATAAGTATATTAAAATTGTCATTCCATTCGCAACATCTCAAAATATTCATCGGGGACCCGAAAAGTATATATATTTTTGCTCTGTTGAAATCAAAATAGAGTCCACGTTATTTAATATAGGGCTTTGAAATTTGGCATAAAGCTTTATATTATATTCAGGTTGAATGGTATTGGAAAAATTGATATGAGCCCACACTGTGGTATATCTGTTACATATAGGGGTACCACCCAATATTCGGCTTATCTAATTTATTTAAATCTGCCTTATAAAAAATAGATGATATACCACGTGGTAAAGAGTGTGCTAGCTTCTTCTGATGCTGGGGAGAAGTAAAACTTCAATTCTTTGCTACAAGCCAAAAAAAAAAAAAAAACGAAATTGGTCTGTAAGTTTCGCCTTTGCTGACATCCAGTAAAGCGACCCCCTGTCCATTTTCTAAGCTTCAGGAATGATGATGGTCCGATTTGCCTTTTATTGTGCACCAAACATGTAACATGTAATGGGATGGAATTTGGCACTTACGACCTAATTGAGTCCAGAAGCCAGTATATCAAATTTGGTAAAGATTGGTTCAGATATAGTATTTATCCGATTTCAAGTTAATTGTGTCCCAATTGGCAATACAAGCTCTAAATGAAAAGGTACAAATGCTTCGGCATATTTAGTACTTTGAACTTTAAATTATAATTCTAATCATACTTGTATGATTTAATTCTCCCATAAAAACATTTAATTGTTATGTGAAACTCTACTAAATATGCAAAGTGGTGAAGGGTATCATAAAGTCGGCAACGCCCGACTTTAAGACTTTTTTTACTGGTTCATATTGTTGAGTTTGTTTTTTATGTAAAACCCACAAAATTTAAAAAAAAAAAAATTAAATGCATATAAAATCAAAAGGAGTAGCGGAGCGCCAATGCGCTTCGCTAGTATTTTATAAAACCGTCTTTTCAAACACTGTACAACTGCCAAACAATATTATCAATTACTCTAGTATAATTTATTAATAACAAATGATTACAAATTACATATCTTACATAAATGTGTTTTTCTTTATATTCTATTTTTTTATAAATGATTATTTACATGTTGAAACCAAAAAAATAAAATCCAACTCCATTGACACCTGTGTCTTTGTAACTGTATGTATGTATGACTACTATTTACCTGTAAACCTGTGAATGTAAATATGTGAAAAAAAAAACAAAAAACGAAATAAAACACCAATCATGACATTCACACAAAATACCCAAAAAACGTACACACGAAAACTTTTTAGTATGAAGGAGGAGTGTTGGAAATGTTTCTCACCGAATCGCAAAAGCATTATTACACCGCCATGAAAAAGTTGGGACGAAAAAAACCACAGAAAGTCATTAAGCGACCAATAAATCATTTTTTAGCTATGTTTTATGATTTATCCAATTCTCGAAGGTATGCCAATTCAAAACAACAACAATAACAACAGCAAATAACAATGAATTATTTTTAAAGAGATGATAATTGCTAAAAATTATGATTTATTACATTATTATTCTGTAACAAAAATAACAACAACAACAACCGCAACAACGTAACAAATCTTTAACTTAACCTCCTCACCCACCTCTAAACTGCAGCAGCTTCTCTTTAGTTTGGCCATCATCCAAATGAAATTTTCAAAATTTTTATTTTCCCTTGATTATTTTTACGAAACTTTTTAATATTTGAATATTTTCAGTTCGAACACAAATTCTACTGCAAATAGTTAGGTTAGGTTTGAACAAGAGTTTTTGTTTTAATTTTACATTTTATGACTTAATCCCTAAAACCCAAAGACTTTTTGACACAACTACAACAATGTTGTTACACCCATAATACAGACAACAAACAAAACCGCTAATCAACTTTCAAAGTGGTTTTCTTCCATAGGATGCATAATTTTTCCTAAAAAAAAACAAAAAAATAATTAAATCAAAATAGTTTTGTATTAGAACATTTTGTTGTGTAAACGTTGATGATGATGATAATGAAGCCCAAAACGAAACCTTGAACGTTTCCCACGTTTGATGTTCGTTTTTCGATTTCTAGCTTTGTTAGAACAAACAAATGAATGATTTGGTGATTTGAAATTATTTGAACACTTAACTTCTCCTCATGAAGAAAATATTGCAGCATTTCCTGTCTTATTGTAGAGGGTGTTTTCAACTTTATAGCTTCTCGCCGCTGTTAAACTATAAAGTCTAAAGCATCGTAAATCAAAAGTTTAACAGATGATGATTTTATTACACCTACTTTCGTTTTCTTCTACAACCGCCCACCTCTACCCACCCTCCAAATGCCACTTTCCCAAAGCCCTCAACCTCAGTCACTAAGACTATGTTTGTTGTCCCTTTGAAATCACCCCACTCTCTGTCTCTCTATACGAAACTATGTCTCTTTGTATCTATATCTGTGTCTCTCTCTCTCTCTATAATATCCAACTGTTGTATCTCTTAGAGCCTGTGTTACAAAAAAACCAAAAACAAAAAAAAAAAAACGAATCCTGATTTTGAGTTGTGTGTTCATTAAATGTAGTGTTATGTTGTTTGTAATTGTTGTAGTCAATTAAGATTTTATGTTTTATTATTATTTGATTAAATTGTCAATATCGAATATTTAGATATCATCAAATATCAAAGTGGTACACAAGAGCTTTTGTCATTTAAAAGATGGTGATATCCACCAAACTTGGAAGAAGTTAAAATGGGTCTGCTGTTGAAAAATGCGATAAAATACTAATGTTGGCTAAAATCGGTGTATTTAATTTTCTTAATTTTAACTAATTAAGAGAAAACTTATATATACAACTTTATTGCATGTTGTATTCGTACAAAACCATATCAAAATTATGATGATGTTTAAATGTAAAATGGTCTTTACTGAGGATTTCACCAATTTGAATTCGTCAATATAGGGTGAGATAAAAAACTGCAGCAAAGTCATACGCCATAATTTTTCCTTTATACCCTACACCACATAGTGGAAGGGTATTATGTCTTTGTGCATTTGTTTGTAACATGGAAAAGGAAGCGAGATAGACCCATAGTTACTTTTGATGATCTCCATAGAGTCACTTTCTGAGTTGATTTATGCATGTCAGTCCGTCTGTCCATGTATTCTTGTGAACAAAATGCAGGTCGCATTTATTATCCGATTGAGATGAAATTTTGCACAAATCATTTGTTTGGCCCAAGGACGAACCCTATTGAAATTGGAGATAATCGGTAAAAATTTAGATATAGCTCCCATATACATTGGTGGCCAAAACTAAAACAACTTAAATCGCAAAGACGATAAATGTACTGTAACTTTTACAAAAATAAAGAAATCTTAATTATTATATGGCCCAATTTTTGCTTGGTCAAAACTAAAGCAACTTTTGATTTTTTATTTTAAAATAATTAAATTTTGGCTAGTAGTCGATAGCATAACCATTATTTTTGATAGCAGCTGCACACCTAAGAGGCATTGAATCTATAACACGCTCAATTTGATCCTTGGGTGTGCTTTCCCAGGCACGCCGAATTCTTTAGAAAATGTTGTGCTTATTTATTTCCGAATCTCGCTTGATCTTCCTATCTACGATACTTCAAAGGGTTTCTATGGAGTTTAGGTCAGGTGATTGTGCCGGCCATAACAAAACATCAATTTTTGACTCCCGCAACCAATATTTGACCAGTTTTGATACAAGTTTTGGATCATTGTCATGCTGAAACACCCAAATCAGCCGAATATTTTACTCAGCGTAAGGGAACAACGTGATATCCAACACATCTTTGTAAACAAACCGATCCACAACTTCCTTTATTTTATGGATAGACCCAAGTCCATAGAAAGAAAAACAGCGCCACGCCATTATTGACCCTCCCTTGTGCTTCACTGTACCTTTGCAACACTGCGGCTTGAGTCCTTCATTTTTTAAACTTCTCACCGTAAAATTTTTCACGTCTGAGTCTTTAATATTAAACGTAGACTCATCCCAGAAATAATGTTTTTTCCATTGAGCTTGATTCCACTTAATATTATCGTTTCCGAAAGCCTTTTTGATTTTTTCAGATATAAGTGGTTTTTTGATGTCTTACGGGCATGCAGACCAGCTGCCACTACTCGTCTACGCACTGATCTCGAACTTATATCCAATGATTGCTCTCTCACCAATCCAGTTGAACTCTTAAATGGTTGTTTTTTATTTCTCTCACAATTTGTGGATCAGTACGGGCTGAAGTTTTTCCCGGCCTTCATCCGTTATAGACTGTCACTACTGATCCAGTTTCAAAAAACCGACGTAGTATACAGAAATAATTATGAAATCACATAAATATTTATGAAATATTTTTGGGAAATCATTTTCTGTGACATGTTGTTTTGATAGACACTGATAATTTACTGTTTTATTCAGGTACTGTATTTGCTTCTAGCCATTTTTAAATTTTTTGGGCAGTACTTAAAAAACGAAACGAAAAGCACATACTGTTGTAAAAAAACTTCTCAAAAAGGATTTATGACAAGCGAAATTGTCGAAGGAAGCAAAAAGCGATCACGAAATAGCGAGCGAAAATATCACAGTAAAAACAACTGAAATTGCAGCGGTTATATGAATATACAACAGAGTTGCTTTTGTTTTGTCCAAGCCAAAATCGGGTTAATTGACTTTACCAAACATTATTTTTTATATAAAAATGAATTTTGGTTTTATGTTTTAGGTTTTTAAAAAGTGAATAAAGTACCTAATTTAAAACAAGAAAAGCTTTCTCATTTTCTTAATTTTTAAAAAAGTTACAGGGCATTTATTCTATTAGTAATTTCAGTTGCTTTAGTTTTGGGCACCAGTGTATATCTTCGTCCGATTTGCCTTTTATTGTGCACCAAACGTGTAATATCAGCCCGAATAGTATGGAATTTTGCACATACAACCAAATTAGGCCTGAAAATAATTATGCCAAATTTGATCAAAATCGGTTCAGATATAGCTATAGCTCCCATATATATGTTTCATCCGATATGATATTTTTGTCCTCCGCAGCCATAATATGCACTCTGTAACAACAATATTTGGGGAAATATATCAAATGCAGCTTTGAATTACCTTTGCTAAATTTTATCGAGATCGGTTCAGATTTGGATATAGCTCCCATATATAACTTCGTCTGATTTACCTTTTATTGTGCACCAAACGTCTAATATTTGCCCAAATGGGATGAAATTTGGCACTTACGACCGAAGTGAGTCCAGAAGCTAGTATGTTAAATTTGGTGAAGATCGGTTAAGATATAGCTATAGCTTCCATATATATTGTTTATCCGATTTCTAGTATTTGTTACCCACAGCCGTAATATGCACTCCGTAAAAACGATATTCAGGGAAATATATCATATACAGCTCAGAAATATATTTGCAAAATTTTTTCGAGATCGGTTCAGATTTGGATATAGCTCCATTCTCGCCAAAATGCTTTTGTGCGCTTGTAAACATTAGAATGAGCTGTCACGGGAATAATTTTAACCCCTCTTATAACATGCGAAATTTCTATCAAACATAGATCCAATGTAAATATGTAATATGTCGTCCATTCCTTCAGGTACTTCCCTCATTAAAAAAAATAATTTCATGTTCGTCTGTGGTCAAAACCGACTGGTACTTTTAAACTTTTTAAGAGCTAAATTCGAAACCCATTTCGGGGAAGAGATGAAAAAGCTCGAAAAGTCGAATTACATATGTTACTCATTTGTGGATCAACTTATACTAATATGTCGAAAAAATTGAAGAGCCCATTGATTTATCAGAAGATACAGCACTGAAAAATTCTGACCCTCTTCAAAATCCTCCTTTACTTTCCTACCTCATACCTATGTTGGGCTAGTATTTATGTATAATTTTTTATGCACCCAAGAGATCAGTCGTATTAAGTCGGTCATTCTGTTTGTAACACCTCGAAATGTAAATGTTAGACCACACAAAGTATATATATGCTTGAACAGCATATAATTCTATTTCGATTTAGGGATGTCCGTCAGTCTGTCTGTCTCTCCGTGAATGATGGTTTTTGCGGACTTGTTGGAAGTTTCGCATTTGAATATAGTATAAGCCAACAACATATATAGGTTAACGTCTTCGAATCACGAGTCTTGATGGGCCCACGTGTGAATATAACCTCCCGCATATAGGTACCCACGATATTCGGAATTGTCCTGAATTCTAGTTTTATTGGGTAGTAATCCCCATTTCTTTGCCTCCAGGTGGAGGGCATCAAAATTTCGTCCTGACCGAAGTTAAAGCTTTTTCATATGTTTTCATCAATATCGAATGTAATAACAGCTTGACGTTCCAAACAACTAAAAAATGCAGTAAGTTCGGCCGGGCCGAACTTTGAATACCCTCCACCATATGGAACGAATTGGAAATTTTTCAAAAAAATTAAATCTATTGAAAATTCTTTAAAAATCTTTAAAATAAGTAATATCGGAAGGTGCCGTTATATGGGGGGATATACAATATTGTGGACCTATATAGACAAATCTATGTCTGGGGTAAAGTACTCACAAGGAACACCTTGTGTGGAATTTCAGACAATTCCGTTGAAAATTGTGGCTGAAATCATCAAAATACCGAATATCAGAGGGTACCGTTATATGGGGGATATACGATATCGTGAACCTATATAGGCAACTCTCTTTCAGGGAGTAAAGTACTCACAAAGAACTCCTTGTGTGGATTATCAGACAATTCCGGTGAAAAATGTGGGTAAAATCATCAAAATACCGAATATAGTGGGAGGGGGGTGCTTTTCGATATCGTGGACCTATATAGATAATTCTCTTTCAAGGGATGAAGTAATCACAAGTAACTCCTTATGTGGATTTTCAGACCATCCCATTAGAAAATGTGGCTATAATCATCAAAATACCGAATATCGGGGGGTACATTTATATGGGTGCTATATGATATCTTGGACCGATATAGCCCATCTTCAAACTTTATCTGCCTGCAGACAAAAGAGAGATCTGTGCAAAATTTTAGCTTCCTATCTTAATTCGTTTAGACTGTAGCGTGATTACAACAGGCGGACGGACAGGACTAAATCGTCTCAGAATTTTACGCTGATCAAGAATATATATACTTTATTGGGTCTAAAATGATTATTTCGATGAGTTACAAGCGGAATGACGAATTTAATATACCCTCCATACTATGTATGGTGGAGGTTATAAAAAGGGGAAAATCAAACTTAAACAAAACTTCTCATTCGGAAGGCAGATGGGATGTTTCTACATTTTTAGGGTAATTTTGTTCTCATATTCCGACTATGAGGTCGCTTACACAAATAAATATGAATACAAACGTATTATTATATTGATAATTTTGCCCCTTGATTGACAATATTATTTATCGGGTTCAATGAACATTTAACTTGGCTCTTGTGTACCACATTGTTTAACATTTGCAGAAAATTTATTTTATTGATGTAGACTATGTTCTATGCATGTGGATATATAAAATATTTTAAATCATCAAAATTTGAATACCAAATTAAAGAACCAATGCAAAAAATATTCAACATACATACATGAAATTTACACACAAACCACTAATTAGGTGATCATTTTAGTTCAAAAATATTAGATTTAGATTTCTCAACAAGGAAAAAAAAACAACAAAAACACTCTCAACATGACGACAATTTATTACAAAGACCATACGATTTTTAATTTTTTAAATTTCATAACAAATTACAAATGTTTTTATTTCTTTTATTTTGTAGCAAACCATTGACACTGCTTGCAAATCATCCAAAATGTTGTTGCATTTATAATTTCGTTGATATTATTGTGTCTGTATCGAAATCATATACTATTTAAATATATTTATATTAAACACACAAATAACTTTTTGTAAGATAATATTTAAATGTAATTGTTTTTTCTTTTTTTTAACATTTTTTTACCTTTCCCCCCTATTACCCAACAAAAACTCAATGAAAATATACCAACGAAAAATGTGAACTTGTGCCAAAACCAAAAAAAAAATTGAAATTAATAACACGAATCAATTCTGTGAATGTCCTTCCCGAAATCAAAATGACATCAAAAAAACATGACAACAACAACATCTGAAACAACGATTACCAATCTATCTATGTCTTGCCCAACAACTACCTATCGCTATCTCTCTCTCGCTCGCTCTTTCCCCCCTACTTCCTGCTATCTATCAAATGAAACATCAACTCCAACTTTTTTTAACACAAATCGATCGATCGCTGATGTGGTGTGTGTGAACGATCAGATTTGAAATTGCCATATTTGTGTTGATTTTTTTAAACATGTTAACCATGGGTATTGAGCACTACAATCAGCCGCATGCGGTATTTTTTATCCTCGAAGTTAGCAATGCATTTTTCACCACCGTCTTCGGGCTAGGTAAGTAGTCGTCACTGGGATGGATGTGTTACCATTTGTGTTATCCTTTGTGAAGTGAACTCAAATATTAATTGTAATCTTTTGTGTTTCTCGTTTTTTTTTGTCGTTTAATTTTTCCGAATTGCAAACTATGTACGGTTACGCGGCTCATTTATCATCATTCTTCACCCCCACCTTCCTGCATATCATCCACCTTACAAAATCGCCCAAACGATCCTCATTCTAAACGAAACCACATTCACGCACAGAGGCCATTGTTAAAATTGTCGGCTTACGCTATCATTATTTTACCGTCCCCTGGAACGTCTTTGATTTTCTGTTGGTATTGGCCTCGATTTTTGGCATTTTGATGGAAGACATCATGATTGATTTACCGATTAGTCCTACTCTGTTGCGAGTAGTTAGAGTATTTCGAATTGGCCGTATATTGAGATTGATCAAAGCTGCCAAAGGCATACGCAAGCTTTTGTTTGCTCTGGTAGTGTCCCTGCCAGCCCTGTTCAATATTGGAGCTTTACTGGGTCTAATCACATTTATATACGCCATATTGGGCATGTCGCTATTTGGACATGTCAAGCTACAAGGTGCTCTAGATGATATGGTGAACTTCCAGACATTTGGCCGCAGCATGCAATTGTTGTTTCGTTTGATGACATCGGCCGGGTGGAATGATGTGCTGGAGTCGCTGATGATCCAGCCGCCGGACTGTGATCCGCACTTTAATCGCCAGACGAATGGGGACTGTGGCCATCCGCTGTTGGCCATCACGTATTTTACCAGTTTCATTATAATTAGCTATATGATTGTCATAAACATGTACATTGCCATCATTTTGGAGAATTTCAATCAAGCCCATCAGGAGGAAGAAATTGGTATAGTGGAGGATGACTTGGAAATGTTCTATATCAGATGGTCTAAGTAAGGCTCCTAATCCATACCAGAAATTTCTTCCAACGATCATAACCTCAACTCTCTCTCTCTCTTCTCTCTGTTTTTCTCTCTCTTTTTCTATCTTTTTCTCTGTTTCCCTACCCCGCCCCAAAAATTCTGTGTTTCTCAATGTGTATTAACCCACCCTCCCTGACATGCAACACTACACTTACACCAACAAAAACAACATTTAGATATGATCCCCATGCAACACAGTTTATACACTTTGCACAACTTTCCGACTTTATTGCTTCTTTGGATCCTCCATTGGGTATCTCCAAGCCCAATACCGTGGCACTGGTCTCTTTTAACTTACCCATTTCGAAGGGTAATAAAATCCACTGTTTAGATATTTTACATGCTTTGGTCAAACATGTTTTGGGTCATGTTGAAGAAACGGATAACTTTAAACAGTTGCAAGAACAAATGGATGTTAAATTCAAGAAGCAATTCCCAACTCGCAAGGAATTGGAAATTGTTTCTTCAACACGGATTTGGAAGAGACAAGAGAAAGCTGCCAAGACCATACAGAATGCCTGGAGGGAATATCAAAGGTGCGCGTCTCGAAAAAAACAACTATTTAAAAAATATATATATAAAATTTGTGTGTCTTTAACATTATTCTCAACATCACGATCCTGATTCTGATTTAATATATTTGTGTGTGTGTCCATGTGTTTGTTTCCGTTTCGTTTCTTCTTCTTCCTATATTTTTTTCGAACTCATTTACCGTTAACCGTTTCCTGTCTCTGTAACTGTATTCGTTCGTAAACGTGCACTCTGCCTTCCCCCCAACAACATCAACAACAACAACAATAATTATAATGACAACAACATGATACACAATATCACAGAAGAAAGAAGGAAAAGGAGCGTTCCAATTCGGGGGACAGTGCAACACAGACCTCAAGTCCAGGTGGCTGGCAAGCCCGTTTGTCGTCGTTGAATTTCTTTCATTTGCAGGCAAGTAAACAATAACCACCACCCACGACCCACAACAACAGCAAAACAATGCCCCCACACAGGTAGGGTCCACACAAGAATTTTTTTCTTCTCTCCAATCAAACAACAACTACAACTCTTACTCTATTCAAAAAACTCAAAAGTCTGTGCATAGGGACGTTGTTTTTTTTCAATCAAAGAGAGAGTATCCTACTGAGCATTATCGTTTTAAGTTACGGGGCTCCAATGTTGAGAGACATACATTGATGTGTGTGTGTCCCAGCATGAGGTGAGCCCTGTCTCCCTTAACTCAGTCACAACGAGGCATACCAAACAACACACACATATTCACATATGTCATCGTTAACATCCGTTTCGGTTAATGAGAGACATGTGTTTTGCAAAAAAATGAAATAAAAACGAAATGTGTCTCCGGTGTGCCGATCAAGATATTGAGAGTAACATTCTTCTCCCAGAGGAGAAAAGTGTTGCTCATCTCACGATCCACGTTAGTTATACTCAGTTTTTGGGAGATATTGTTCCGTTTGTGAATGAATATTTCTCAATTGAAATAGGGGAAAACTCTTTCGTGTTTTGAAAGCGAATATCAATGCCCTTTTTATTATTTCAGAGAAAAAAGGAATGAATGAAGATATATTTTTATTTGCAAGTGCCATTTTTATTTAATATATATTTTTTAAATATATAATTGTCAAGTTTTAATATAAACTACAAATATTGGTGTAAAATGGGATTTGAGAGGATAAAATGGCGTCCTTGAAATGATACTATTGCGTTCTAAGTTTGTCTATGCATTTAGTCCTGTAGTATAATTTCAGCCAATCCTCAAGAAACCCGTTATCTACACCAATACCAACGAAATTCTTGATTATTTTTCATAATATCTTTTAATGTAAATAAACAAAATATATATTATTACAATAATATCCGTAGTCTGTTTGCATGAAATGTATTTTTGCAAGTTCTTTTTTATTAAAAAAAAGTATTAATATAGTCATTTTATATATTAATATATAAATAAATATTTTAATACTTATAATTTATTTTTTCGAAGAGTAATATAATAGTTATCAATAAATTATTTTCAACATTTCTAAATGGGAAACATGAGAAATGTAAAGGTAATTTTGAAATAACGAAGGAGTGGTCAAGGTGAAGTAACATTTATAAATTCAATATAATATTAATAAATAGTTATATTTACAATTAGTTTAAACTAGGTTTTAAATGGAAATGTCACTTACTCTCGTCTAGATCAGAACATTTTCACATCTCAAGTGTTTAAGGTAATTTTGAACAAGTACATAGTTTTGTGGAAAAAAATACATAGTTTTGAAGAAGGAAGAAATTGGCGAAATTGATATATGAAATGTTGTTAATGGTATTTTCGCATTTATAAATCAGTCAGAAAAAATGTATGTAAAATAATAAATAATTAATAGTTGATAAAAACTGGGGGTCGATTGAATTTTTAGTATTTCATTGTTTTCCAAAATACATCAAAATGATTTAGTTATTAGCAAATCACGACAGGGAAATCCATTGGAGGTGTTTACAATATAATTTATAAAATTTAAACTGGATTTACTTCAACACCCTACGATATATACCCAATTGACTTCAACTTCGATTATTTTTCGATTTAACCCAGGAATTAATGAATGAAGATAAATGAAAGCCAATAAGAGAAAACCTGAATGAAACTGAAGATAGAAACTGGGAACAGAATTTATTGCACGCAGGGCTGCCAAAGAAATTGCAAGAAAAATCGTCAATTTCTCAGAAAAAAAGCTGTACAATCGTACATTTGCCTTTTTTAGCAGTAAGGAAGGGTTAAAAGTCTGGCGGTCCGACTGTATGATACCCTACACCACTATCCGTAACAAAAAATTTTTACATTGGGAATTTATGTGAAGTAGACCTTACCAACTATGAACCTTATTGGAATTCGTATAATGACTTTAGATTAGTCACAATTTGGGAACTATGTGCACTCTGAATCGATTTTCAACAAATTTGCCGGAGGCTTTTGTCCCTCTAGTACCAAATAACATTGCCGTAAGGTGCATGATACTCCGAGGACTTACAAATATTTATTGGAGTAAATTGGAAAAATTCGGTTGAATATGAAAAACTCTATTCAATTTGGGTTGATAATACATATATGGTGAACAGAAACCCCAAAATCGGAGGTATATCGAAGATATTTAAAATCTAAACCGATCTCGATGAAATTTGGGTGAGATATTTTCGAGCTGTATCTTATGTCCGGTACCAAATATAATTCCTATGGAGTGCATATTATGCATGTGAGGGACTTAAACACAAAATCGGATGAAATACATATATGGGAGCCATAGCTATATCTGAACCGATTTTCATTTGAAGTACTTGCTTCTGGGCTGAATTCCGTCAGATGTGCCTAAATTCAGTCCATTTGAGCTGATATTAGCCATTTGGTACACAATAAACCTGATATCGGATAAAGATACATATTAGAGCTACATCCAAATCCGACACGATCTCGATAACATTTGAGAGAGGTAATTCTGGGCTGTATCTGATATCTGATACCAAAGATCATTCTATTGGAGTGCATATTGCGCATGTGAGGGACTTAAAACCAAAAAAATGCAACCAACTTCAGACTGCTGTTATTTCTAAGCCACTCGTCCGACAGCTGTTACAATTATTCCAGTGACCGCTCATTATATTGTTAACAAGCGGTCAATTCTCATTTCGGTGAGAATTGTCCACAAAAAATTTATTCGTGATGGAATTCAAGCGTGATAGTGTGGTTTCCTTTTTATTTAGCTGGAAAACCATAAGTGGCTTTCGTTAGAGCACTCCAGCATTTAAATGTGAATAAATCTTTTGTGTCTCGTACTATCGCTCGTTACCGTGACACTGGCAGCGTAGCCCGACGCCAAGGAAGTGGACCGAAGAACATAGAAACCTCCACAGAAATGGTTCGAAAAATAACGAAGCGACTTGATTGAAACCCGTGTAGCAGTGGCCGAAAAATGGCTCGTGAGCTGAACATATCGCAATATTGGAAAATAAGATCTGGGTAAAGCCATTGAAATTCCAAAAAGTGTAAGAACTTACATCGCAACAGAAGACAAAAAAGAGCTAAAAATTTGCTTTGCTTGGCCGATAATGGTGAACTGCCGAATTTGGTTTTCTCCGAGAAGAAATCATTTGTTTTCCAGCAGTTTGTAAACAAACAAAGTGATCGTGTTTACTTGCCAAAGAGGTCAGCTGATAATTTGCACCTTCGGTTGTCCACCAGAAATCAAGCGCCGGCCATAGTGATGGTGTGGGCCGCCATCACAGCCGATGGTCGCTCTCCGCTCGTATTAATCGACCGTGGCATCAGAATAAATGCCGAATGTTATCGCGAGAATATTCTGGAGGGTGTATAAAACTTTGGGCACGCAAACATTTTGGCCACAGACCTTGGAAATTCCAACTGTACTCAGTACCATCGCACTCAGCACGCGCCACCCAAGACTGGTTACAAAATGAGGTTCCTCGCTTCATTTCCATCGCACAATGGCCACCAAAATTTCCGGATACCAATCCGTTGGACTATTGTGTCCGGACTATTTTGGAAAGCAAGGTTGACACTAAAAAATACCAAAGTCTCGATCACCTCAAGCAAGCGCTTCTCCGGGAATGTGCCAAAATACCGCAGAGCAACATTCGGGCAGCGTGTGACGGCCATAATTCGTGCCAAAGGTGACTGATTCGAACAAAGCTAAAATTATTTTAAAATTTGATGCTATTTCCGACACTTTTGGCTTTCATTCAATAGAATTTTTTAAAAAATGTAAACATTTTGGCGATTGACTTTGTTGCAGTTTTATATCTCACCCTGTATACCTTTTTTAACATCAACCATCCTAAGAATAATATAAAAGCCTGTAATAAGTTTCAAATACGCATATTGAATATGGCTACATCTATCGTAATTGCAATCGGATGAAATAAATGATATTTGTTACCAGATGTCTCATGGAGCTCAGAAATACCTTTGCCAATTTTTTTTCAAGATAGGTTCAGATTTGGATATAGTTTCTATCCGATATCTTCACTCGCAAATGGAGTAGATTTTGGCACATACGACCGAATTCAGCCCAGAATAAAGAATCGGCAAAATGTGGGTGCGATTTTTCATAATTTCAATGTTTTTAAGAGCAATTTTTATTTTAAAATGATTATAATTTAATTCCATGAAACTTTGGAATACTACCCATATTTTCGAGTAATGCTATACATTTTTATAACCTAAGGTAATACATATCGCATTTTATACGCTAGTAGATTATTGTTATAATTTTATTTGCTTGTTGTTGCTTTTTAGAAAACATATAGTTTAGGAAAAGTGCATGTGAAGGGACATAACTGCTTAAACATGAATTTGGGAATACAATTCTTCTGTGAAAAACAAAACATCAGGGAGTAATGCTCTCCGAGTTGAAAGTCGATTTTTTTGTGTTACCCACTTATTAATATGACTCTCTGTGACCTCTTTAGGTTTCTCGCCGCGGTACACAGTGTTCCAGTCGTGCCTCATCACGAAAATCATCGCGGGCTTCCGATGCTTCTGATATCAGCGAATTGGCTGGACCATGGCTAAATCTACCCCTGATGTTGGTGTCTGGTGCCGATGATGTGGTCAAGGATATCAAACAACAGAGTGAAGAATTGGGCAAGCGGTATTTATGCAATTTAATGAAAATAAATATTTCAAAAATTTTTGGATTTAATTTGAATTTTTGTTTATTTTCATTTGTTATCCAGAAAAAAAATTACAATTTTTGACGAAATCTTAATAATTAAATCTTTCTCTGTGTGTGTGTATTTTGTAATATTATTTGTTTCTTTTTGGATTTTTCTTTTCATATATGAATGTGTGTATTTTTTGTTGTTTTTTGTTTGTTTTTATTATAAACTAAAAAAAAAAAACAAAATCCCAAACTGAATTAAAACAAAATTAGAACAATTTTTAGAATTTCCTCATGTTTATCCCTGAATTATGAGTCCATACTCTCCGAAATGGTTAACAGCATACTAAGCGATGAATCACATGCAAATGATTTGAATTTTTTTGAAAATTTCAATGACTGTCAACGAGGTAATTGAAAGACGAATAATCAAATTCTAATTACGTATTTTTCCTCACAACTACAAATAAAAAAAAATAGACAAAAAACAACTACTACTACAACTACAGCTATTCACAATCTCAAATACTTGTATTTAAAAACAAAGTCTTGTTTTTTTCTTGATGCCAAAAACAAAACAAACAAAACAATTCGTACACATGTAGTTCTAGACACTATTTCCTACAACAACAATAATGAATGAACGCTAACAAAAAACAACAACAAAGCTAAGCTCTTTCATCATATGAACTTTCTACAGACTTATTTGCAAAACAAACGAAAAACTTTCCCTTACATTCTCTCCAATTGGTTTGCCAAACCAAAATTTTTCAAACATTTTGTAAGAAACTTTCATTGCTCACCTCAAATCTATGAAAAAAAAAAAAAAAAACAACAAAATATTGGACGCCCCAAGATTTATGCAAAATTTCAAAACAATGCTTAACTATTTCTCTCTGTGTATAGAAACCAAAGCAACAATTCTCGTAAATTAGGAGTTGAAATTTGTATTCTCTTTTTTAGTTCTATTTGAAATTAGTTGTCTGAAAAAAGTAGTTACATCCAAAAAAATTTGCAAAAAATCTAAATCATTAAATGCTTCTGTAGTAAATTCGAAAGTATTCAATGACAGCGCAGTAGTTCAAAATTCATAAAACAAATCTTGTATTGAAAGTTATCAAAAATCAAAATCTAGTCTACCATCATACTTCTCATAGTTATCATTAAAAAACATTCGTTTCAATTTTGATTGACACTGTAAATCCACACCCTACTAAGCTCCCATGTTGTTATCCTCAAAAAACCGAAAGAAAAAAATTATTTTGATTTTCATTATTTTTGTTCAATATTTTCTATTCATTTTTTTATATTAATGTTCATTGTAGAGTGTTTAATTGATGTGTATTTTCAACTATCCACAAAAAGAGGAGAAGAAGTAGAAGAAGAATTCAAAATGAATTTTCAATCCACGTTTTCCTTCTTAACGATCTTCAAAATGAATTTTCGTAGATTTTAACTATCGGAAAATTCATTTTGAATATTGTTGAGCGCGAAAACCTAAACAACGATTTTTTTGAAAATCCTGTGTTATGTACAAAACAGAAGCGGTGTGGTGAGTTTAAAAATAATTAAAAAAAAAATGAAACAGTGATGACTTATATGTGTATGTTGTTTTTTAGTTAACTTTTTTTCGGTTTGCAGTATTTTCATTTCGATACATTTTGAAACGTATTTTAAAATATCTAAATGAAAATATGAGCCAACATATATTTAAATATTATTTAATTGAAAACTGTAATTTTGATATTATATTAGTAATTATTATTATTAATTATAGCCACAAATTAAGAACATTTTGAACAAATTTTTTTCATTCTGGCGAGCCAATTATATTTACACCTGTGGTGAAAAATTACGGCTTTGACAACCACATGGATATTTAAATTTCCATATTGTTGGGATAGGAAGGATTGAGTTTAATAGTTTATCATATTGTAGTTTAATATCAAAGTATAGATTTATGTTGAAATATTTGTATCAACTATTCCAAGAAAGTATCACAAAAAAAAATATGGAAATAAAATATATCTAATAATCTAGACGAGCAAAAGGCCAGCTAAGTTCGTCCAGGCCGAACACTGTATTCAGAAGGAAATTGAAAAATTAAAAAAAAAATCGTCGAAAAATACCTCTCAAATGAAAATCTTTACATTAAAGCTAAATTGAAAAGTGTGGTTATAATTATCAAAATACCGAATATCGGGAAGAACCGTTATAAAAGGGATATACAAAATCGTGGACCTATATCGACAATTTTCTTCTAGGGGTAATGTACTCACATGGAACTCCTTTTGTGGATTTCAAGATAATTCCATTAAAAATTTTATATAAAATCACCATTGTATGAAGGCTACACGATACCGTGGACCTATATATAGGATTATCTTTCAGGAAGTAAAGTACTCACAGAAAACTCATTGTGCAGTATTTCAGACACTGCCATTGAAAAATTAGCTAAAATCAGACAAAAAAAAAGTTTCGTATTTCGACCAAAATTTCCTATGCAGGTCCCCGTCTTCGTAAAGATCCCAATATAAGGGTAACTTCCTATATTCGGTTGTATTATGATTTTATCAGTATCTTTCAACGTATTTGCTTTGAAATTTTCCAAATTTCTTCCAAATGGTGGAGGGTATTTTTATAACTTCTGCCATATGGCTAGAGAGGGACATTTGGAGTCGATCGTAATATTATTATCAAACTTAGATCGATTTCGGATGATTTCGGTCCACTCCTTCTGGTACCTCCCCCACAAAAGTTCGAAATATTTAATAAATATTTTACTGCACACAGAGAGAATGGATAATCTGATTTTGCTCCAACTTTGCGAATCCTAATATTTGCATTGCTTCTAGGTCAGGTGTCAGAATAGACAAAATCGGTCCACTCCATCAAGTACCTCTCTTACAAAGGGTCAAAACATTGATATAATTATAAGAATACGATTGTTTTCGAATTACCCTTATCACAATATTTATACCCTCCACCTTGAAAAGGAGGGTATATTAACTTTGTCATTCCGTTTGTAACATCCTTAAATATTCGTCGTAGATACCATAAAGTATATATTCATAATCAGCATAAAATTCTAAGTCGATTTAACGATGTCTATCTGTCTGTTGAAATCACGATTCAGCCCACATTATTTGACGTAGAGCGCCAAAATTTATCAGAGCAATCTGTATTGTGTCTACGATGGTTGCTATTGAAAATGAGATATATCGGTCCACGTTTTGGTATAGCCCCCATATAAAGGTACCTCCCGATATTCGGTATTTTGATTATTTTTGCCACATTTTTTCACGGATTTGTCTAAAAATTAGTATTTGTTGGTCATAATGGGTTCCAGCTCCAGTGGCGAAACATTGCATGCATGGGTCCACTATTTGGTTTAGCCCCTATATAAAGGTACCTCCCGATATTCGGTATTTTGATGGTTTTTGCCACATTTTTCCACTGATTTGTCTAAAAATTGGTATTTGTGGGTCATAATGGGTCCTAGTTCGTGTGGCGAAACATTGTATGTATAGGTCCACGTTTCGGTATAGTCCCCATATAAGGGTACCTCCCAATATTCGGTATTTTAATGATTTTTGACACATTTTTTCACGAATTTCTCTGAAAATTGGTAGTTGTAGATCATAATGGGTCCCAGTTCGTGTGGCGAGTCATTGAAATTATAGATCTACGTTTTGGTATAGCCCCCATATAATGAATGGTACTTCCCGATATTCGGTAATTTGATGTTTTTTTGCCACATTTTTAACGGATTTGTCTGAAAATTGGTATTTCTAGGTCATAATGGGTTTTAGCTCCTTTGGCGAAACATTGCATGTTTTGGATTCACGATTTGATATAGCCCCCATATAACGGCACCTCCCGATATTCGGCATTTTAATGGTTTTTGCCACATTTCTTCTAATGTTTCCTTTACCCTAAGGTGGAGGATATTAAAAGTTTAGCCCGGCAGAACTTAATGATTTTTTTACTTGTTTCATTTACCCAAGATATGGTGTGAAGATGGGAAATATCGGTGTACTCCTTCTGGTACCTCCCCCACAAAGCTTCAATATTTTGAATACCCATGAAGCTCCTTAAACGCGAAATTAACATCCGATTCCGTTCAGACTTGGCAAATCTCAATATTTCTATCAACAATTTTTTTTTTATAAAAATGGTAGAGATCGGACCATTTTCTCTGGTTCGATCTCCCCCACAAAAGCTCAACATTTTGAATAACCAAAACGATCATAAAATCAGAAATAAGCATCCGGTTCTCTTTATTTTTCGCACATCTAATTATTTCTACTAACACAAGATCTGCTGTGAAATGGGATATATCGGCGAACTCTTTCTGGCACTTCCCCCATAAAGGGTTCAAAATTAAAAAGAAAAACAAAACGCTCATAAAACCCGAAATAAGCATTCAACTGTCTGCAAATTTCACACATCCAAACAGCTTGCTTTATCTGAATATTTCCCCTTGGCAGACATTCCTTCAATTCCTATTTCTTTTTAAATTTTGCTCGTACCAATATCTTTATCTGTATTAGATGAAGTGGAATATGTCGATCCGCTGTATCTGGTAACCTACACCTATTTCTACATTTTCCAAAAATTTGCACATATCTCATATAAAATTAATAAGTAGACGATACAGTACAAATATAGTTGCAATATTTATAACAGTCTTAGGCCAGATACGAATTAGACTATATTAGCCAGCTGTTTCGGAACCTCCCCCATAGAGGGTCAACAGTTTGAATAATCATAACTCAAGGCTGGGGGCAAAATCGACAGATACTATTTAACTTTTGCTATTTAACTAACTGCTATTTTGTCTTTGGCAATATTAAATCAAACAAAATAACACGCACTGGCATTAATCTGACAATAAATTTAACCCCCAACGACTTATTGTAGGTTTCCTTTTTAAGAGTGGTTTAAGTAAAATATTACAAAAATGTGTTAGGAATAAAGTCTTATATTTTATCTAAACTATTAACTTGTTTCTTTCCAAAAATATATATTAGCTAAAATGGCTCAAATTTTCTATAGATTCTGAATAACTTATTCATCAGATTCTGAATAACTTAACATAACTTATTATATTAAATTAGGGCCCCCATAGCTTTAAAATATTTTTTCTTTACGATGATATTATTTTAAACGTATATTTAAATACATTTTTAATTAAATTATAAATTAATTGATGTTGTTGATTATATTACATTTTACAATCCAATGCTCATATTTTCCTTTAGAATTTTCGGATAACTTCATTTATAAATGTGTTTTTAGACAATATATAAAGATAAAGTAAATGTTTTCATGTGTTTTTGTGTTTTTCGTTTGTGTTCATTAAGTATTTCGTCAAAAGTTGAAAACCATTATCATTTCAAGTATTCGTTTCTTTTGAGAAAAAAAAAGTGAAAAAGAAAATGTATTTAACTTCCATTTTGAAAACCAATATATCACTCACCTTTTCAATTTTTCAATCAATATTCTTGTCTTGTTGTGTTCATTTGTTGCGAAAAAATAATAAAAAAAAACTAAAACAACAAGTGGTAGCATATTTGTGGAAGCGCCTAGAGCAAATCGACGCCGAAGCTTTTATAATTTCTTTTTGCGACATCAGGATGCTGTTGATGATAGTTTAACATCACCATCAGTGCATAGAAAAAGTAATTATTTTTCAGAACTTTCCAAAAAAAAAAACTTCATAAAAAAACGTTTATTTAAATGTAAACCCCATTCCCGATCACAACACCAACAAACCCGTTCACATGCAGTGTATAGAACACCATATATTTCACAATTAAATAAAACACACGCTTGCTTTTTTGGATTCCACCCACAGAAGATCATGTCATTCCATTCACTTGCCATTACATTAACATATTTGTGGCTTAGTTATTCATCCATCTCAAACTCGAACCTATTTTGTGTACAGTACCAATATCCAACACACAACACTCAACACCTCCATACCCTGCTCTTTTTTTTTTTTTTGTAATCCCGCCTGTAAATATTCCATATCAATGTAATATTTTACTAATGTTGATACCAAATTCAAACTTTACAAAAAGAACTACCCCAAATACTAACAAAAAAAAATTTTATAAAAAAATTATTATGCATTTAAAAATATTTTTTCTATAAATATGTTCTCCTAACAAGTGTTTTTTTTTTGTTCTTTTTCTATTTTACAACTTTCTTTCTTTCTCTGTAATTCTTCCTAATTGTTGTTGTTCTTTTTTGGATGTTTGTTACAACATTGAACCTTAAATGTATCTTGCCGTAACCCAATCATCACCTAATTAAAAATTAAAAAAAAAACAATCCCTCGCCCCGCCCAAACAAATCAACATCAACCCCAAACTCCCCCCGTCCACCATCTCAAAACCCGACAAACAATAAAACAAACAATCAATCAATCAACAAATCAATCAAAAACAACACTAATTTAGGCATCTCGCCCACAACAGCCGCTATCTCCTCCACCACCTCCCTCGCCACAACATTAGCCGACAACACAACAACTATCGCCTCTTTGGATGCCAAAAAAAGTAACCTCCAACAAACGGTAGTCACGCCCACACGTAAACGAGCTACGAGTTTTATACGTAAAAAACCACCCCTAGAAAGAGGTTTGTCAGCACAAAGCGCTTTAAGAGTTAACAAAAATGCTTTTGTCTGTATGTGTGTTGATGTTCTTGTGACCCCGGTGCAAGCGATCACTAATCACCCTTTTATTTCTCTTTCCGTTTCCCTTTTCTCGATGCGTTGTGCGATGTACATTTTTGGGTTTCTCCAAGCAGCTGAGGGTCCAACGCCCGAGGTAATTGTGACCAAACCATCACCGGAACAGAGTACACTACCATTGGGTCTGAGGCCGGAGAATTCAACATTGGTCCATGTTCTGGTGCATCGTGAGAGCGAGGAATACAAGGAGGAGGACGAAGAGGCAACGCAGGTGTCACCGTCGATAGGTGAGTAAAATTTTGCAACAATTTAAGGTGCTACGAAATTTGTCAAAATCTTATAAACACAAAACTTGGGGAGGGAATACAGAAATTCCTTTTGGGGATGAAAGGTCTTGGTAGGTATATTGAGAACTTCGAAATATGTAAAAAATATCTAATTAGAGCATTTAAAAATTCACGAATATTGATATACAGATGTTGTAAATATTTTCGAAAGTGGAATGGTAATTTATAAATAAAACAAGTAAAAAAGCATTAAGTTCGGCCGGGCCGAACTTTAAATACCCTCTACCATTTGGAACGAATTAGAAAATTTTCAAAAAAAAAAAAAAAATCCATTAAAAATTCTTTTAAAATCTTTAAAATATCTAATATCGGAAGGTGCCGATATAGGGGGGATATACGATATTGTGGACCTATAAAGACAAATCTATGTCTGAGTGTAAAGTACTCACAAGGAACTACTTGTGTGGATTTTAAGGCAATTCCATTGAAAAGTGTGGCTAACATCATCAAAATACCAAATATCGGGGGTACAGTTATAGGGGGATATACGATATCGTGGACCTATATAGACAATTCTTTTTGAGGGGGTAAAATGCCCACAAGGGACTCCTTTTGTGGAATTTCAGACAATTCCATTGAAAAATGTGGCTAACATCATCAAAATACCGAATATCGGGGGTACCGTTATATGGGGGCTATACGATATCGTGGACCTATATAGCCCATCTTTGAACTTGACCTGCCTGCAGACAAAAGAGAGATCTGTGCAAAATTTTAGCTTCCTATCTTAATTCGTTTAGACTGTGGCGTGATTACAACAGACGGACAGACGGACGGACGGACAGACGGACGGTCAGGGCTAAATCGTCTTAGAATTTATATACTTTGTTGAGTCTAAAGTTATTCGATGAGTTAAAAACGAAATGACGAACTTAATATTCTCTCCATACTATGTATGGTGGAGGGTATAAAAAGAGTAAAGGACTTGACTGGTAGTCTGACGGCTGAGGCTAGAATCTTGAAAATTTGGGTATGGGTCACTCTTCGTCTGAAGGGGTCGGATAAGGCTGGGTTTTTGAAAATTCATACTAGAACTGTTCGAAAAGTATTAAAAGGCACTGAACATTAAGCAGTAGAGCTAAAACGCTTAAATTTGGAATGAAGCATCAGAGACCTTCATTCCAAATTTAAGAGTTTAAGCTCTTCTGTTTGATGTTCGTAGTACGAATATCCAACAACCCAGCCTTATCCGACCCCTTTGGACCAAAAGTGACCCTCACCCAAAATTTCAAAAAGTTCTAGCTCTACTGCTTCCTTAAATATAATATTTACTTAATTTTAATACTTTTCGTAGTGTATGATAGACGTACCAACGGGGTTTTCGCACTACAAGTGTACGAAAAGTACTAAAATGTACTACAATTGATACTATTTCGTACCTTTTGCACGGTTAGAGTTAAAAACTTGAAATTTGGAAAGGTTGAGGGGTGGAGTCGATGCAAGGAGGTAGTTTTGGAAGTGTGAACCCATGTATACGAAAAGCACTAAACGGTACTAAATTTAGTATAATTTGAATTTGGATGAACTGGTGGAGATGGATTCCTGAAATTTGATATTAACATTACTGGGTGGGGTTACCAAAAGATTTTTCGCGCTATAAGTGTACGAAAAGTACTAAAATATACTACATTTGGTACAATTTCGTATTTTTCGGAGTATAGTCGATGTAAGGAAGTTGTTTTGGAAGTGTGTACACATTTATAAGAAAAGTACTAAAGGCTACTAACAGTAGTACAATTTGAATTTGGAGAAACGGATGGAGTTGGAATCCTGAATTTTTAAATTAACATTATTGGCGGAGTGTAGGATTGGGATATAAAGTAAGTTTTCGAAATTTGTACTCATGTCCAAAAAAGTACTAAATGCCACTACATTTGATACAATTTCGATTTGGGTGAACCAATAGAGTTGGAATCCTGAAATTTGGAAATAACATTACAATTGCATTGTAGGACTGAGGTATGTAGGTAGTTTTGGAAATTCGTACTTATATCTACTAGGTGGCACGTAATAACGTAACCATTGCATTCTACGACTGAGAAATGTACGAAGCTTTGGAAATTCGTACTTATTTGTACTAAGTGGTACTAAATTTGATGCAATTTAAATTTTTTGTAAACCAATAGAGTTGGTATCCTTAAATTTGGGAAATAAGATTTTAATTGGGCTGTATGATGTAGGTAGTTATTAAAATTTTTGCCTAATTGTACTAAATGGCACTAAATGTTGGTACAACTTGGATTTGGGTGAACCAACAGAGGTTGTGTCCTGGAGATTGGAAATAAGATTACTGACGGAGTACAATTCGAATTTAGGTGAACCGATAGAGCTGAAATCCTGAAATTTGGAATTAAGATTACTATTTGAGTATAGGATTTGGATATTGAGGTAGTTTTCGAAATGTGTACTGCATGGCAATAAATTTGGTACAATTTGTTTTTGGGCGAATCGATAGGAGTGGAATCCTGAAATTTGAAATAGGGATAACTATGGGGGTGTGACATTTGAAAATTTGTACTTATGTGTACTAACTAGTACTAAATTTATTACAATTTGGTTTTGGGTCAACCGATAGATAGATGTAATCCTGGCTAATGAGATTTCTATGGGATTGTATGATTGAGGTATGAAAGTTAGTAGCTCTGGAAATTTAGAGTATAGGATTGATGTATGTAGGAAGTTTTCTAAATTCGTACTAATGTGTACTAAATTTGGTACAATTTGAATTTATGTGAAGCGATAGAGCTGGAATTCTGAAATTGCGGTACAAAAGTAGTTTTGGAAATTTGTAGTGTAGGATTTCTACTAATATGTACTAAATTTGGTACAATTTGGATTTGTGTGAACCGATAGAGCTGGAATTCCGAAATTTTATGTAAAGGTCACAGTTGGTGTTTGTGATTAAGATATGGAGTGGTTTTGGAAATGTGTACTATAAGTGATACTAAATTGGGTATTGGGTGTAAAGATAGAGCTGAAATCTTGAAATTTGATACAGATGTCACTGTTGGTGTCTGTGGTTAAGGTTTTGGAGATTGTTTTGGAAAAGTGCATTTTAATTGTTCGAAAAGTACTACGTGGTACTATATTGGGTATAGGATGAAGGGATGGAGCTGGAATCCCGAAATTTGATATTGAGTACTCGTTTGGTATCTGGTGTTTAGATCTGATGAAGGTTTTGGAAATGTGAATTATAATTGTAAAGTAAAAAGTGGTACCACATTTTGTATTGGGCGAAGGAATAGGGCTGGAATTGCGAAGTTTGATACTGAGGTTTCTGTGTGGCATTGGGTGAAGGAATAGAGCTGGAGTCCCTAAGTTTAATATTGAGGTCTCTGTTGGTATCAGGTGGTAGTTTTGCAAACGCGTACTATAATTGTTCGAACTGTACGAAATGGTACTAATTGTGGATCACTGATGGTGCCTAGGATGGAGAGATGTAGATGGTTTTGGATATGCGTACTAAATGTTACTAAATTTTGGAATTGGGTGAAAGACTAGAGCTGAAAAATAAAATGCCTTTAAAGTCTGTCCATATTATTGCTCTGAGGGACTGACATGACAAATTAGATGAATAAAAGATATAGGAACTAAAGTTATATTTTGACCGATTTTCACCAAATTTGACTAACTTCTGAATTCGGCTGAATTCGGTCGTATATGCCAAAATCTAATATATCCCCATATTTAGTTCATTTTAGTACTTTTCGAACAATTATAGTATGAATTTCAAAACCCACCCCATATCTGAGCAACAGACCTCAATAGTGACATCTAAATCAGCTCTATTCCTTCACACAATACCAAATTATGTACAATTTAGAACTTTTCGTACAATTATAGTACATATTTCCATAACCATCTCCATATCTTAATATCAGACCTCAAGAGAACTCAATATGAAATTCCGGGATTCCAGCCCTATCCCTTAATCGAATAACAAATTTAGTACCATTTAATAGTTTTCGTACAAATTAAGGACGAATTTCTAAGCCTCCGCCAAATCTCAAACACAAATACCATCAGTAATCTAAATATCAAATATCAGAATTTTATCTCTATCCCTTCACCCAATACCATTTCCGCAATCTATTCCATATGTCCAGGCAACACATAAACAGCGACCCCAATCCCAAATTTCAGATTTGAAGCACTATCTGTTCACCCAAAGCCAAATGTGGTACTATTTAGTACTTTTTGTGTTCTTGTAGTACCCACTACTAAAACCACCTCTTTATTACTTCATCTGTTTTCCAAATTTAGTACCATTTAATACCGTTCTCTCACTTAGTAGACATTTCCAAAACCACCTTCATATATCACATTTACTTTCCGACCTTAATTCTCATACAAAATTTCTTAAAATTTCTTCGGAGTACTCCTGGGAGTACAAAATTGGGCGTAACCTAATTTTCGATGTCGCTTCAATAAGAATCTGATACAATTTATGGAGGGTAGCAAAAAGGGGGGTATTGAATTGATTTAATAAACGTTTTAATTATTTAAAATATTACGACCTGTAGGGTTTGGAGGAAATAGGATACTCCTCTCGTTAGTTGCCGTGCCGACGGAGTCGGAGTCGGAGCTTGATCGACTCTGCACCTCATACCCTTTATAACCATAATATTAGGAATATTGGGTGCGTACGAGTAATACCAATACTTATACGCACCTCATATCTCATTTATTCAACTATTTTGTTTTTCTCATTCCTCTTTTAAATAAATTAAATTTCATTTCAGAAAAACCCAAACCACCGCAAATTCGAATAAGTCCCGGTTCCGATGACATCGGTTTGGATACAATGCAACCATCGATTGTACAAATTATGATTGAATCACCTAAAGATCCACCACGGGGTGATTTCTCGGCAGAATTTGAGGTGGCACAACAGCAGCCAATTTCAATGCCACCGCCACCAATTCCCGAGGCACCCGTCATCGAAGAGCCCATCGATGTCAACATACAAGGTGACACATCGAAGGTGTTCTATGATTATGATCCGGATGAGGCAAATGAAATTGTTATATTGGAAACCTTGGCTGAGGAATCGCCAAAATCTGAAGATATACCAATGACAGCACTGCCAGAAATACCAGTGCCAATGAAATTAGTGAAGGATACACTGATTGGTACTGAGCAAGAAATTACGACTTCGACGACGACGACTGCCGCTACTGCAACATCAAGTGCTACAGTGGCCATGTCTGTGGCAAGCAGTAGTGAAGAGGATTATCAGCAGGAACAGGATCTGCCACAACCACCAGCACCAGCAGCAACACCACCAGTAACAGGCAGCAGCAGTAATATCCCCACATCGACATCGTCATCATCGACCTCATCGAATGAAGATGGCGACAAGAACAGATGACATTCACCTCGCACAGCAACGGTGCCCAAGAGCAGCAGTTCCAGCTCGAGCACCAGTTGCTGTAATTCAGCTCACCAGACAACCAGTTACAGTTCGACGGGTACCGATAACAATGCTAAGGAGGGCGGCGACAAGGATGAAAACGATGACGAAGACAATCGCCGGAAAAAAGGTGATGGCCCCCAGCAATACAGTTGACAACCACGCATCTGAGTAGTACTGCAACGCGGTGGCGGCCAGTCGAATGGTTATGGTAACGGTAACGATAAGGGCAGCTATGACCAACAAACCCTATATAGCAATAACAAATACGATTCCATATTAAAAATCTTGTTAAAGTTTTTCTATTAAAATAAAACAATAAAAAAAAAGAAACTGAAAACAAAAATTGAATAATGAAAACCAAATAATGTAGTCTGTCTTCTAAAGTCATAATGAATATTTGTAATAATAATAAAAATTATAATTAAAATAATAATAATAATAATAACAATAATGACGATGATGATGTTTAAAATTTCCCTTTTGAAGTTAGAAGAAAAAACAATCAATTTCAATAATGAAATGACAGTATACTCCAAATATATAAAAAAAAAACCAACAACATGTATTAATTCTACATTTATATATAGCATGGAAAACGAATGTTAACATTTAGAGAAAAACCACAAAAAAAAAACAATATCATTAACATAACAAGAATGGAAACATGAAGCTCCCATAATAAATTAATAGAAATTCCATAGAAAACAAAGAATAAAAACAAACAAAACGTAACATAGAACCTTATTTTGTATTCCAATTCCAAGTCGTATTGTAAGAAATCACAAGAAAAAAATTCCAAATTTATTAAAAAGTCAACTTAAAAAATATATAAAATAATTGTTAAAACTTCCTTTCGACTATGTGAGTGTCTATAGCAAAAAATATGTAAAGGCGATCATTTGTTTATTTTTTTTTATTAAATTTAATATTTAAGAATCTTAGAATATATATTCTAGTTTAGATATCATATTATTATTACTATATAAATAGAGAATTTATTCTTAGGGAAATTGTTAAAGTTGTAACGAATCTCATCTCATACAAAGAAAATTATACGGAATGGTTGAAAGGCACTGCCAAAAATTAAATAAAAAATCTTGTGATACAGTGAAAAGAAAATTTGTTAAATCAAATGTTTTAAAATTCAAAATTAAGGAACGCGTATAATTGGTGACATCAAACATACGCACCGAAGTGCTATATCAATTACATAAAAATTTGGGTAAGAGGAAGGCGTATGCGTTATGGCGATAATTATACGTTCATGTGTCTACGGTTATTTTACATATTTTTCAATATGTTTACATGAGTGGGTTACAAAAATTAATTCAATTGTTATACGAAGTGTTAAGTTTTCTATCAGACATTTACTCAGAGTGTTAGTATTTATTACAATTAAATTTTTGTCAGATGACATTCAACGTCAAAACATTCCAATCAAATTTAAAGCAATCCATTTATAGAACATTCGCTTACTGAGAAACGTATGTACTTGGTGGAGTTTTTTTCGTTTCCCTCGATTTTACAATGTCTTGGTGAGAACAAATTCTCACAGCTTTTGTAAAATTTCCCGATAAGTTCATACTCGGAGACAGCATCCGATTTTATTTTGAACAAGTAAAAAAGCAGCTAAGTCCGGTCAGGCCTAATTTTTTATAGCCTCCACTACTTGGAAGAAACTTGAAATTTTTTTAAAAAATTCTGTCGAAAAATACCAATCAAATAAAAACCGCTATAAGGGGGCTATACGAAAACGTGGTCCTGCATAAGTAATTTGTGTCATAAGCTGTAGTAACGATTCTGAATTTTATATACGAAATTTAAAATAATTCCAGTGAATAATGTCGCAAGAATCATTAAAATACCGAATATCTGGGATACTGTTATATGGGCGCTATACTAAAACGTGAACCTATTGGTAAAGAAAATATACGGAATGGTTGAAAGGCACTGCCAAAAATTAAATAAAAATCGTGTGTTACAGTGAAAAGAAAATTTGTTAAATCAAATGTTTTAAAATTCTAAATTAAGGAGGCGTATGATTGGTGACATCAATCATACGTACCGATGTGCTATATTAATTACACAAAAATCGGGTAAGAGGAAGGCGTATGCGTTATGGCGATAATTATACGTTCTTCTATCCTCGGTTTTGTCACATATTTTTATATCTTACACCACATAGTGGTAATGTTATTTGTGAACTTCTTTGTAACATGGAGAAGGATGTGAAATAGACCCATAATTAGCCATTTGTGGATCTTCATAGAATCACTTTCTAAGTCGATTTAGACATGTCAGTCCGTCAGTCCGTGGAGGTCTCATTTCTTATCCGGTTGATATGAAATCTTCCAAACAACATTCGTTTGGCCCATGGACGAACCTTGTTGAAATCGGTGAGAATCGGTTCCGTCTGTTCGTCTGCCCATGTACATATTATTGTGAACAAAATATAGGTTGCATTTATTATCCGATTGACAAGAAATTTTCCAAATAGTATTTATACAAGGACGAACCCTGTTGAAATTGGTGAGAATCGCTTCAAATTTAGATATAGCTCTCAGATATGTCATCAACCGATTTCGAATTAATTGTGCACCTAATGGCCAATATTGGTGCAAATGACCATATTGGCACATTCGACCGAATTCAGTCTAGAAGCAAGCAGTTATACCCAACAACACTATGTGTTAGGGGTATTACAAGTTCGATTGGGCCAAAAATTATGTAGCACCTCGAAATATTGGTTTCCCACATAGAAAAGTATATATTTATCTTCCTAGCTCGCCGAGCTGAGTCGATCTAGCTATGTATATTTGTCCGTCCGTCTGTCCATGTTAATTTGTAATAACGCTACAGGTCGCAAATATGGCCAGATTCCCACGAAATTGAAAATGTAAGTGGGATTAGGGTCAGAATAGAAATTTATTGTTTTTGGAGATGATCGCAAAATATTTAGGGTTGAAATGGACGAAAAACAGAAAAAATACTTGATTTTGCAGTTGCTATACAGGCCACAATTATAGACCAATCGGCATGGAGTTAGAGTTTTGGACTGGGCAGAAGCGTACAAATTTGGATGATCATCGGACCACATTTAGCGGGTAAAATAGACCATGTAAAAAATACGAAATTTTCCAGTGGATATTTTTTATCCTGGCGAAATCACAAATACACGTAAATGTTACTTTTGACCGTTACATTGATGCTTATATCCAAAATCTCGAATATATAGCCAAATATATACAATCTCATATATCAAAGAAGGGAATGTTAGTTAGATCGCTGATAAGTCAAAAAATCGATTAAAAATATGCCAATAAAAAAGTGAATATTTTTGGTTACATTTTTTTAAATTTTTGTCATATTTTTTATCTCATGCGATTTTTTCAATTTGACTTACAATTTTGAATTGTAAATTTTTATAGTTTTTCTACACCCCCAACACTATGTGTTGAAGGTATTATTATCGTCCGATCCTCACGAAATTTTTCATGGGGTAGCGTTAGGGTGAGAATTAAAGTCTAATCTTATGGAGATTTAAATTCAGGGGTTCAAATGGACCAAAACAAAAAAACATTTTGCTGAAAAAGGAAAGAAGTCGAGAATGGCTCCCATATATATGTTTCATCCGATTTGGGATTTAAAGTCCTTCACACGCGTAACACATTAGATATCAAATAAGTGTATCAAATTTTGTCAAGATCGGTTCAGATTTGGATATTGCACCATTTGCATTGTGCACCAAATGTCCAATATGAGTTCAAATGACCTGCATTTTGGCACATCAGATCGAATTTTCGTACATCCGAGTTTCGGCACGTAAGTTTCCATTTTATCATTCTCGAAGTGAAATCATGTACTCTATAGCAATGTTATTTGGTATAAAAGATAAAAATTTCTCCGTCAAATTTAGTAAGAATCCAAATGTTGAAAGGTTATATGATCTACTTCAAATAAATTCTTTTGTTACCGGAGCTTTTCTAAACATGCATAGGTATTATATAGTCAGCCGCGTCTAACTTTTGATATAGGGTAGAACTACAACTTTTTTCAATTTCGAAGCCAAGGACATTCTTCCGTACATTTTCTTAGCACGTTAGCATTTATGACAATAACAATTTTGTCAGATGTCATTCAACGCCAAAACATTCCAACTGAATTTAAACCAATCCATTTATTGTTAGGTTAGGGGCGAAAACGATCGTCATATATCCTGGTGGACATACACTAAGGCCAGTATAGGCCTGTTGTGCGCTCTAGACTAAGATTTGTATATTATTTGCCATGATCTGATTTAGGTCTGGTATGGAGTCGTTCCCTATGAATTAGAAAATTTGATATTTGCAAACGCTGGGCATTGGCAGTGAAAATGCTCCAATGTTTCACCATCTTCCCCGCATGTCCTGCATATGCTGTTATCTGCACAACCTATCCTGTACAGATGAGCTTGTAGGCCCAGGAGACCCGTAAGGTTCTCTGTTACCTTAATAATCTTTTTCTTACCTAGTAATAAAAGGTTCTTCTCATGGGGGTCGCCCCACAGGGCTTTTTGTGGTTTTCCCTACGCCTTCATTGTTCCATAGGGATCTACAGAGTGAGATAAAAAACTGCAACATAGTCAAACATCATAATTGTTACATTTTTTTTAATTTTATTGAATGAAAGCAAAAAATGTCGGAAATAGCATCAAATATTAAAATAAGTTTAGATTTGGTCGAATTGGTCACCTTTGGCACGAATTGTGGCCCTAAAACGGCCAATGTAACCGTCACATGCTGGCTGAATGTTGCTCTGCGTTATTTTGACCCATTCCCGGAGAAGCTTCTTTACCTTTCGAACCATTTCTGCTGATGTTGCTGTTTTCTTCTGTCCACTTCCTTGACGTCGGGCTACGCTACCAGTATCACAGTACGATACACGAGCGATGGTACGATAAACAAAAGATTTATTCACATCGAAATGCTGGAGTGCTCTAACGATAGCCACTTGTGGATTTCCAGCCAAATATAAAGAAATCAGACTATCACGCTTGAATTTCATCCCGAATAACTTCTTTTCTGGAAAAGGCTTTTGTACGCTTGTAAACAATATAATGAGCTGTCACTGGATTAATTTTGACAGCTGTCGGACGAGTGGCTTAGAAATGACAGCAGTCTGAAATTGGTTGCAGTTTTTTTTATGTCACCTTGTATACCAAACTTAGTCTGTAAGGGTACGTATCTGTCAAGAAAAAGCGATTAAAAGTTTCGAAAGTGTCTTTTTAGAAAATTTGAGCCGAATCGATTTGGTTGCAAGACTCAAACTCTTCCTTAAGTGTGCCATCTTAAAACCTCTCTATATCCCCATAGCGCTCTTCAACAGAATGCCTTTCATCTTTGAGCCCTATTGCCCAGGTTTTGTGTGTGTTCCTTTTGTATTAGCCTTCCTCAGAGGATAACTCCCGGATATTTAACATTATCTGTTCTCAAACAAACTTATTTTTCACTGCATCATTGTGTAAATATGTATGTATGAATATGTAATTATTTAAAACTCTAACAACAGATAGTTTATAAAAAATAATTTAATTAAATATTTGCGTTACATTGCATTTTTGCCAAAATAAACTAAGTTTAGT